CTAAAAATATTTAATGTTTTCATTAATAATCTAATTTAAAAAATTATAAATACATATATTAAGAATAAAAAAGAATATAGAATTGGAGTGGAATGACGAGCTTATCCTTACATCTTCATTATTTAAATTACTACTTAATATTAAAATATTATATTATTAGTAAAATAATATCTTGTAATTAAGGACATAACAGTAAATGTTATTTTATTTTTTTTCATTTCTCGTAAACATCCTAACAATAAATTTTAATTTCAATGGTTTAGAAATAATTTGGTTCCAAACACAATTAGAAATTTAAAATCATTTTCATTTTTTAAAATTCTATAATTTGAATCGTTTTTTACCAATTCAAAACGTCTAACCAGGCATTAATGAGTGGGCAAATTTTTAGGGAAAAAAATAGATTAAGAGAGAATTTGTAATTTCTTGTTCAAATTTCTGTCAAGTTAGGAAATGGGCTGTCAGAGAACAATTTCTTCCGCCTTGATGGGCTTTTATGGCCCCAAAGGTTAGTGGACTTCTTGCAATGTTTTCAACCTAAATTTTTTGCCAATAACACTGAAATATATAAAATATAAATTAGAATAAGATTAAATATATTTTTTAGTCTGGGATGTTTGTGTTTATTTCACCTATTTCTTTTTTATTTAAAAGGTTTCAATTTATTTTCTTAGTTTCTAACAATTTTTTTAATTATATCCCATATCAATAGTAAATATTAAAATTTGTTAAATGTTAAACAGTCAGATATTTAGATTAGAAATTAGGCCATTAAAAAATAAAAACTTCTAACTCTTCCCCCAAATTTCTAAAAGTTGGCATAAATTTTGATTTTGCCTCTTAGGTTGATTCATCATCTAAAGTGTTGTCCACTCAAGTAAATTTATCATCAACCAATTTTAATATAGGAAATTGCAGTGGGTAGTAATAATTTTTTATGTATTTCAAAATATATCACCTGTTTTTAAAATTTTTAAATATATCAAAATTATTTATTTATATGAGTAGTATATCAGCTACTCATATTAGTAGTATATCAGACACTCATAATATATTAGATGTATATCATCTACATATTGTACAGACACTCATATCAGTAGTATATCAAATGTATATCACATACATATTGCATGTATACCAGACACTCAAATCAGTAATATATGAAATGTATATAGTATATCACATACATATATTAGTCGTCAGATATATTACATATATTCTATAGGTGTATATCATTTGGGTAAAGTTGTCATTTTAGAATTGGACCTCCGTTTTCTTTTAAAAAAAATGTTTTTGTCATATTTGCAACCATCCCTTTTAATATTAAAACGTACATAGTCAAATTTTTTTTAGTACAAGTGAAAGTGAAGAATATATATGTCAATTATCGTTGAACTATGCTCTTAAAATATCATATCGTGATGGGTTCTCTTCTTCCTACCTTCATTGCTTTTCAAGGCATCCAAACACACCCCACCATGAAACCCACCACTTTTTGACTTAAAAGACAGTTCTTTGGGACTTTGAAAGAACAAAAATCCCCCTGGGTGGGCGATCTTCAATCCTCAACCATCTGATTAAGACGGTGGATGGAGAAGATGATCACCGATGTTCCTTTCGTGAGTCATGGGAAACTTGAAAGTCAATTGGGTTTCCACTTTCTTCAATGGGAAATCAGAATTTTGCGCCTCCCAATCCTTATTTTCCTCTTGTTTTCTATTGCCAAAGTAAATGCAAATAAATGGAGCATTGTATTTTAGGACGTGTTTGGAGGTGACAATAAAATGAGTGATTTTGGAAAAAAAAAGATTTAAAAATAATTGATTTTCCAAAATCGTCGTGAGATGATGATACCTCAAAAATCAATTTTAAGTTATTTTGAATATGTTTGGGAGTGATGTAGAATTAGTGATTTTGAAAAAAAGACATTTAAATATAATTGACTTTCTAACATCATTATCCAAGTAATGACTTAAAAATCAATTTTGAGTGATTTTAAGCTTTACTAAAATCAATTTTTTAATTTGTCAAACATCATTAATGAGAAGGGTAGTGTCAAAATCACTCTCAAACATACTATTTATGTTTTCCTAAAATCATTTTTTTAATTTGTCAAACATGATCAATGGAAATGAATGAAAGTGCAAAATCACTCCCAAACACAGATGTGAATCATTCAATCATTTAATTTATTTTATTTGGAGAGAGTCTCTTATCGCAGTACTAGAAATTTTCACAACGCACCATTGTATCGCTATTGAAATTGGAATGTTACAAATTATAAAGATTCATGGAATTACATCTTAAAACGAATTGTCAAGGAGAAACACAGCTCATATATCATATAAATTTTTATTAGGTCTTTTACCTTTTCAAGGTAGGACGATCCTCAACATTATGTCAAAGTTAACGACAACAACAAGAACTATTTAAAACCAATCAACATAATTTGAACTTTCTAAGATTTGGAGACCAATTAAGATAAAATAGCTTAAATTAGAGAGACTAAACTTAATAAAATACCTAAGTTGACAAGAGTGATTAGACCCTACATGAGAACACATGAAAGACAAAAAGAGAAGCTAAAAGAATAGCAATAGTAGAGAAGGGAAGTTAAAGAGAGAAGCAAAGGCGAGGCAACAGCTGGAATTGAAAAGAAAGAAGTAACAAGTTTCCATTGAAGGAAACATAAATAATGTAAAATGGTTGACAAATTTCAAAGCCAAACAAAGAAAGAGAGTGAAGAAGCAAAGTAAAAGAAAAGGTTGAAAAAGGGAGCCATAGCCATATCAATATCAATATCAATATCAATATGGCTTTTCAATTTGTCAAACCTCAAAACCCCTTCATTATTATTTCTTCACGCAACCACAAACAAAAAGGAAAACGTATTACAACTTACAATTATAGAAAATATTCTTCTTGCTTTTAAGCAAGACACCTTTTTTTTATTATTATTATTGTTAGAATACTATTTTGGTGGTTTTAGTTTTAGTTTTATTTGGGTTGGGTACTTCTACTTTATAAATATTCATTTGGATCTACCTAGTTTTAATTTTTGTCATTTTTGTCTTTACTTGCAAAATTTTAACACACAATCTACACAAACTAAAATCTTTTTAGAATGAAGCTATGGCTACATTTCACGTTGTATTGGGCAGTCCACAAGCCCTTCCACTTTAGGATACAGCAACATTAAGGGCATCTCATGTCATATTAAGCAACCTAATGTGCACAGCCACCTCCACACAATATTGAGCGACTATAGCTGGCTGCAGCCAGTCATGTTGCATAGTTTATAGGTGGACAAAGTCACTCCATGACTTTGAACGTAACCGTTCACACTGCCGTCTCCCTATGAATAGAAAGGATTCCCAACCTTTCAAGGTAAGCAATTCTATCGAGACACCACACTAGTGTTATTCTTCTTATCGCTTCCTCTCTGCAGGTCACTATTATCCTAGCTAGCTAGATCCAACCTCTTCTTGATCACTTAGCGATCAATCCATTCGAATTATATGATTCAGTTGACCTCAACTGTCGGTCCGACCCGTTCCCCAAAAATTACTTCAACAATTCAACAAATCTCTCGTGTAGACACTATTTTCGTTTAATTTCCATCAGGTCAACATCATTTAATAATAATATGAAATTTAACAACATTAAAAGAGAATTATTTAAGAAGAACATTCAGAGTATAAATGGGAAGATTGTAGTATAAATTTCTCTTGTGTCAAAAATTTCAATGCAAAGTCCACCCCAAATTAAATCTCCAAATCCACCAACGCGCAATTAATAGAATTTTTCCAATTTCACTTTCCTCATTATCTCCACTCAAAAACTTTAGAATATTTTTGTCCCCTGGCTCCTCTCTTCTTCAGAAAAATAAAATTTACTAAAAACATCATTTTCTATCCCTAAACTCAGTTGGATCAGTTTTACTGTAAACTTTTTAATTTTATCAATTTCAACCTTCAACTTAGTCTTATGTGAGTGTTATAATTTTTACCCATGTTTAATTTCTATTATTTTACGTACTAATTTTGACAAAAAAGAAAATAATGTAATGAACTAACTAATTGAATGAAAATCAAGTTTTACAGAAAATTAAGTTTGACTAATGTTCAAAATCGACCATTAATAACTCTACTAAAACTTACCAACTTCAATTCAACCAACTAAAAAAATTGATCTGGTGTCATTTTAGTAGGAATCCTATCAAGTACATGTTTTCTAATATTTGACACATTTGAGATTATTTTTCCAACAATTTTTCAAGCAAAGATCTATAAGAATAAAAATTGCAATACTTTTATGGTAAGGATCGTAACGCTTAAACAAATCTAAGATGCAATTTGATAAAATTGAAAGTTTAAAGTAAAAAGTGATATACTTTGTTCAAGTTATGCCCCAGGCTCGATATAGACTTTTGTCTTATTTCGGATTCAACAAACTTGAGAAGTATCTATAACTTTGACATGATAGTTAAAAATTATAATTCCAACTATAATATTTATTTTAGTAGAAAAATATTAACATTATTAGGGTTATATTCCTCATCACATCAAAGTTTCCCTTGGGAAAAAAAAATAATGAAAATTTTGAAAGTAAAACTATACCGAAACCTATAAAGCATTTTTTATTCTCACAAATTTTTTAGAATTGTGTTGGATAAATCCTAAACTTTAAAAAGTATTTAATAAACTTTTAAACTTTTTAAGATAGTATCTAATAAATTTTTTAACTTTAATTAATATCTAATATGTTTCTAAATTTCTAGTTCCTGAATTTTTAAAAATATCTAATAATTAGTAAACCAAACTTGTAGGTATTTTGTTGTTGAGAAAGCCAAATTTTTGTAACAATGATTTTCAATTTGCAAAAGTGCAACTTGCAAGCAAAGGGATTGACAACACAGAGAAACAAAACAACCAAATGTCAATAAGAAAACGGTTTAATTTAATTTAATTAGCTCATTGACTTGTGATAGTGGATGGAAACCTCCTCTCCATTTCCCTTTTGCTTTTTTCTTTGTCCATTTGATTCATAAATAATCACAGTGAAGAAAAAAGAAGGAAAAAAAAAGGTTCAAGATCAGCCCCACACCATCAATATGCTCTTTCTGACAAAAAAAATCAAAAAAAGAACCAATTTTTCAACCTATAAATACCCTCATTCGCCTTCCTTCCTCTCCATTCGATCTTCACCATGGCTTCCAACTCCGCCGCCGCCGCCGCCGCCGTGCAGTCCACCACCACCACGACCTTCGTCCAAGCCGACCCATCGACCTTCAGAGCAATAGTGCAGAGGCTGACCGGAGCTCCGACCGACCCACCAAGGCCGCCGTGTCGGCTCCACGAACGGCGGCGGAGCAGCAAGAAGCTGGAGCTGGAGCTGGAGCGGAAGGGCGGCGACACGGCGGCGAGGGGGATGGGAATCGGAATGGCGTCGCCGGTGTCGACGCTGGAGTTCGTGACACGTGGGAGTCCGTGTGAGGATCAAGAACTGGAAGACAGAGCGATTGCGGAAAAAGGGTTCTATTTTCGCCCGAGCCCGAGAGGATCCGACCCGCCTCAACTTTTGCCCTTATTTCCCATTTCTGTAACACCACAACACAACCATTCTTCTCCTTTTTCTTCTTAATTCAATGTTAATACTCAACAAAATGATCATACAAGAGCTTTCAGAGTAGAGAAGTTTTGGGTTATTTTAGATAGTGATATGAAAATAGAAATCTCAAAACAAGTGATTCGGAGTTGTGTTCACTTGTTTTTCGACCGCATATTTGTAAGTTGAATTTTAGTTGGAAGCAAACTCAAGATGTTTTTGTAATATATTGACAAAATACTTAGCAGCTTGAGGACCAAATCTTGCCTATTTAAATTTACGTTTTTACATTTTTTCCATTTAATAGTGGTGAGGACAAAAATTATTATTATCTTTTATGAGGATAAAATTAGTCAAATATTTTCCATATATTGGTAAGTTATCGATTACCAACTAAATATTTAATTTAATGTAAAATAATATTAATTAATTTATTAACATAACGATTATAAATTTTGTTAAAATTAGTATTTTACAATATTATATAATTTATAATATATTATATTTTACATGTTTTTAAAACGGGGTGAAATGAGTTTATATCATGAAATATGTATTTACGAAAGTGATCATTTTAAATATAACCGTAAATTTTTAAGTTTTGGATTCAAAATCTAACAATACATAAATAAAAATAAAAATTGTTTTCAAAATTTTTACTATTTTGAATTACAAAATTCGAAAACAACTATGTCAAACAAATATTATTAAATTGATTTGATTAAATGAATCTAGAAACAAAAACAGAATCTGAATTCTCCCAAACCATTCCTTTCTAACTTGTTAAGTTTGCCTTTTATTAATTCAAGAAAATTCAATGATAATGAACAAAGACAGGGAGGGAAAAAGCACTTTTACAAAGATTATTAGAGCACAGCACATCATAAGCAGAATCAAAACCCAAGAGAGAGAAAAAAACTTGCTTTTTATGTTCGTTTCTCCAGATTCCCAGTAAATTATTCCCACCCAAAATTGCATCCTTATTCCCACATTTCAACTCAGATTCAGCAACTCTGATCTCAGTGACTTTCAAGTTTCTTTGTTTCTGCCTAATAATCTCAACGAACTGAAGCACAGATTGAATGCTGATTGTACAGACCAGCCACCCCATTTGTGAACTGCTGTCTGTTCCTTCTCTTCTTAACTACTATGAATCCTTCGCTGTCCCCTGTTTTGTTCTTATTTACCTTGCCGCTCTGCTGCAGCTCATCTTCATTCCCATATAGAATTTTGATTATGGCACTGTCGTTGGCTATAGCATCTGATGAGTTTTCTGAAGCTCTGAACTTATGATCTTTAGCTGCAGCCTCATCAGCAGTTGGATCCATGTTGTTCTGAACTGATTTCACAATGAAGCTTAGGAGTATTTGTCTTGCGAGCTCGGACTTCTCGCACTCGGAGATGCTTTTCTTCAAGTTGGCGTCGATTGTAGCAGTCGATTTGTTGGCCAGCTTCTCGTGTTCGTCGACACTTGTTTTCGGCAAGGGATTTGAGTCGGTGTGGAGTTGGCTATTTGCGTCTACCGAGTTTGATTGCCAAGCTCTTTGCGGGACGAATTCGGGGGCATGTGGATTCATCATTGTTGCAGCTCCAAATCCACTTCTTCCCATGACAGGAGCTTGGTATTTCAAAAAACCATGTTTCATTCGAAACGAGCTGTTGGTTCGGTAATATAGAGGCGATCGAGGACCGCAAGGTACTCTTGTAGTTGCGGGAGGAATCAAAGGCTCTAGAGAGCCTTGGCTTGCTGTTACATCATATATGCTAGTGACTGCAGCCGAGTTTAATCCGCTAGTCATGGAAGAAGTTCCAGGATTGAACGGTTCTGCTGCAGCAGAAAGCTTACTAGCATTTGTTTCCACCGGCTTTTCCGAAGGAGATGAACAGGATATCATCTCTTCGCAATCTTGGCTTCGATTTTCGGACTCCGTCGCAGCGTTATGAATCGGTTCCGCTACTTCGTTTTGGATCACTTGATCAGAAACATTGTTGGTTTCTTCATTTTTTGATGTTTCTGAATGACCACAGTTCTGGGGTTCAGCTTCTTTCTCCTCTAACTCATTAACATTTTCCACATCAACCAATTGCCTTAGAACAGTGCCAGGAGGGGCTAAAGCTACTTCTTTGTAAGATATGGATCTTGAAACCGAAACAGGAGACGGCGAGACGACCTTGGAAACCGATATTTTCGCCTGGAGCTTGGCTGAATCATCCCCTGTACTTGACCTTTGAGTAATTGCTTGCTTTAACTGTGAAAACCCACTTTGAATGTTCTTAACAGCTGCTGCTTTCTGCACTGGAGAGACAGTTTCCTGTTTGTAGTTACTCTGTCTGATATTAGAATGTTCAGAATAATGCACATTTAGCTTTGAAAGAACTGGTCGTCTCCGGCCGACCTTCCGCCCAACAACATGCCCCGACCGCCCCTTAGAATGAGCCTCTTGCCACCCATCATCTGAATAAGTTTCTTCCACAGTTTCACTTTTAACTGCTACCTTATTCCCAGTGATGTTTTCAACTACTTCCTTCTGTTCTACTGGTAAAAAATTGCTGACTTTAGCTTCTTTTACACTGTCATCTGATGAATCAGTAACTTGTTTTGGACTATCAATGTGCAACTCATCCTCAGCCATTTCATTTTGATGCCCCTGATGAGTTTTATCACTTCCATTCACTACCTGAAAAAAAAAAACAATAAAAGACCAAAGCTTGAAGAATGAACAGAGGCATTCCGAGGAAAAAAAACGTGTTACTTATCGAAACTAAGGCGACATACGAAACATGGTCGCTTACCTTTGCACGTCTATGTTTCCTCTGCGTATCGTTTCCTTTTGGATCTTGATCGGGACTTATGAAATCCAGGAGATCTGACACACTGCAACAAAAGGTCAAGAGCTTTGGTGTGGGGAAGTTCAAAAAATGGTTTGAAAGAAAGTAATATGGGTATACCATATCAATACCTAAGGTGGCCTTTGCTCGAAATCAGCGCGTCGGGCTTCGGAGTTCCATTACGCGCTGCTTCTTGCTGCTCTAGCGCTTTCGACTCGAAATATTCCAGCCACGCAGCCGCATCCTGCTCAGGAACACATCAAGTTTGCAAATCGTTTGATACCATTCAAAATTCAAGTATAAAAGTCTCATAATCTCATACGAATATGATGATAAGTTGATTGAAGATTATGAATTCTCTCACCTGAGTTCGAAGATCTTCTTCTCCAAGTTTGGATTTGAGTATACTGAGCGTCGTTTGTTCGTGTTGCACGCTCAGCGAATACGCCTCCATCAGAGAAAGAGCTATGGCAATGGCATGGTAGCTTGCAGCAGTCTGCAGAGTGAAAATGCAGTTCATGAGAAAAAATATGAGCACTGTGTTCACATATCGATCGACCGACCGATCAATCAAGCGAGATAGAGAGCGAGAACAAGACCTGTATGTGATCAGCTCCTAATAACCTCTGGTTGCACTTAAGAGCTTCATGTAAATATCTAAGAGCAACATGAACATTCCCCACACCCTCTTCCATCATAGCAACATTAATGTAAGTTGCAGCAGTGTTGGGGTGAGACAGCCCACACGTAAAATGTAGAAGGAACAACGCTCGGTTCACATACCTAAACAAACACCAAACAAGAAACGAGAACGATAATAAAGACTCCGTGTTTATTTAACTCCTAAACTTTCGCACTAAACGAACAGCTTCGATGAACTTACTTGAGAGCCAACTCAATGTGTTGAAGACGATAGTAGAAGACGGAGAGATCCCCATAGCTCTTCATCGTGTCGGGATGATCGAGCCCGAGCTCCCGCTCGTTGATATCCAAAGCCTTCTGTTGATAGATTGTTGCCTGCAGAATCAAGAGAAAGCCATCAGTTTTCAATTGGAATTTTGTTTAGTTATAGTCAAAATATGAGGTGCGTAGAGAATTGAATCACCTGATTAAAATCACCAGTGTGGTAGAGGACTACTGCTAGAAGACTGTAAGCACTAGCAGTGGTTCGATGGTACGGACCGCATACAGCAATCATTTTAGCCAATGCCTTTAGAAAGCAACACAATATAACCTTAATCAGTTTATCTTCCAAAGCTAAACAAAAATTAATTATGTGCTTTATTGTTTGTTAAAGTGTAATTTTTTAATAAGAAATATATTTTTAAGTGAAAAATAATAATATGAAAATGTTATAAATGTATTGTTAATTCTAAATACTCAAGACTGGGTGATCGAACCAATTTGAGCATAACCAATAGTCAAGACATCTCCTACTTTCTTATTAAAAATATTAGTTCCATAAAATATAAATTTCAATTAGATTAATCTCGTCCCTGTGTCCAAAAATTAAAGTTTATTATATTTGTCAACAAAATAAGTTAAATTTAAAAATAACTAATATTAAAATGAAATATCAAAAGGACAAAAAAATAACAATAAACAATAAGTGCCTTTTCCTTGAGCCATTTTATAAATTTAAAGAATAAAAAATAAAACTTTTCAATGTTTGTCTTGCATGTTATCACATTTTTCAGAAATAAAGATACTTAATTAGATATTACGGAGGTGGATGGGGCAATCCATTCTGTCATTGGAGAGGTACTTGGCAGTCTTCCATTGGTGCCACTTCTTATACTCAACTTTCACTTTTACCACTACCCGACTAAACTCATTTGACAATCATTTTGTTTTTATATTTCCTATTTTCTAGAATTCTTCAAACATAACTCTCAAAAATAGAAAACTAAAATGTCAAACAGTTATTTCTCGATACCAAATGTTGTCGGGTTATGAGATTAGTCGAGCTGCACGTGAGAATATAAAAATAATAATAATAAAAATTCAAACGGAGACCATAACACTATTTTAAATTAAAGTTTCTTTTTTATATATAAAAAACATTTATTTAATTTGAGAAAAAAAAAATATATATATATATATATAATTATAAATAAAAATAAAAATGAAAAGAAAAAAAAGAGTGAGAAACAAAATTGAAATAGAATACCTTGGTTCCATAATTGACAGCATCGTCAAGCTTGCCTTTATCCAGAGCAACTTTCGACGATTCCAACAAATTCCGCCCATCCGCCGAACTGCATCCTACATGCTACACTCCAAATCACAATTCATAAATTCAAATTTCAGTGATCAGAGATCAGAGATCATCATTCCACAAATTCAGATTCAGAATTTTCAGATTCGATCTCCACCTTACAAACCGGGACCATGCTCACGATGTCGCTTCTCCTGAACGGATTAGGGCTCTCCAAATCGTAATCTCTCGGCGCCAATTCCAATCCCACCTTGTGGCAGATCCCTCGCAGAATCGACACCTTTCTCAGGTGCTCGAATTCGTTCCTCAATCCCCACCCGAATCTCTTCCCTATGAACGATCGTAGCCATTGCAGCCTCACGCCTCCGTCTTCGTTCTTCTCCTCGTCTTCCGATCCGTGGCTTCCGAGGAGGAAGTTCAGGGCGGCGGCTATGGCGCCGGATAAGTCTCCGGCGGCCTCGACGCCGGCCACGACGGCTTTGATCACGTGCTTCAACGCTCGGATCACCATCTCGTGGATGCATAGGGCTTGTATGTGTGGAAGCTTCTCCGCTAACTCCACCTGATATGAAATTTATTAGATTCTTTCTACGTTCTTAAACAGTGATTTTGAGAAGGATTTGAGGCGGGAGCGGTTTATAGAAGTGTTTTCTCACCACGCGGCCCAATGAGCACATTCGAAGGCCTCTCAAGTGCATGAAGTCTGTTAATGTACGCCCATCCACAGGTGAGAGTTCAAGCGATCCAAAATCTGTCACCTAATAGCAACAAATAATGATTAAATCTTCTTGTAAAACGATCCATAGAATTTCATGATCTTCTGTGACATAGAAACAACTTCTTACCAGCTTTGGCAGTGCAATTTCATCATAATATTTGTGTGCCATCACTATGAGCTCATCTGCTGACTGTTTTTGCCAACACAAGAAATTAAAAGATTAGTTTCAAAGATTAGTTCCAAATGTCCAAAAAACGCTGCGATTGAGTCTCTAGGATACCTTTAGATGGAGACCGGTTCCGCTCTCTTTGAGGCGAGACAATGCTTGTTTGGATATCAGTTTCTCTACAGTCTGTTCGCTGCTTGGCTCGCCGTTGGATTCGGTTTTTGTGTCCGGGCCATCGGGTGTACAGTGGTTTTCTTCGGTTGTCGTCGTCGTCTTCTTTTCCCGCTTCTTCAAAAGCTTGAACTGCTTCCCCAGGCCTTTGACTGCTGGTTCAATCTCCTTGACATCTTCAGAGGATTTAGGCTTTGAGTCTGGTTCATTTTCCTGCTTTTGTAGATGTTGCACCCAGCATGAACCAAGCTCCCATCTAATTGATTTCTTTGAAGCACTGGGCTCTTTCTCGAGCTTTGATAAGCTCTCTTCGAGTACTTTGCGAACCAGAAGACGGGATGATTCTAGATCGTCCGAGGTCGAGCATTCTTCGAGTGGATTAGCACTGGTTTTGTGAAGCTGAATCCTCAAACTGGAATGAGATTTTAGCTAGATTAGTACTTGGGAACTGGGCAGGAATTAAGAATCACCATAGTTAGATTAGGACCTGTTGATGTTAAGAGCATTGGCTCCTCCATCTGGTTGATCATCAATAACAACATCTTGATTCTCGTCCCAACCCGCCTTCACTTTACCGACAACCTTTACCGTTGCGGTGTATCCACAATGTTTTACAATGACAAGACTCAAGGAGGAAGTATCCTGCAAAGGTTTACTCAAAATGACAAGACGAAACCAAAGACCCATGATTTAATCATATTAGCTTGGGATCTTACCTGAACAACTACATTTTCATCTGCAGTCAACCCCTTTAGTAAGTTTCTTTGTGCAACTTCCTCATCAGACACACCGTCTAATCTGTAACCGTCGAGTTTTACGACAGGCTTTGTACTTGCATCGGTCGAATCACGTCTTATCACGATAGACAAGTCTCCAATTCGATCCTCGAAGACAATGCCAGGAGATTTAACTGTAACCTGTCTTTTTGAGTTGGAATCTGCAAGACTAGAAATTGCTGCAACAGCTTTTTGAATAGCAATGTCAACAAATTGGCTGTGGAGTAGAAATGCTTTTCGGTCTCGGACGATCCTCTCCTCCTCAGTTTTGCAAGGAAGCTTTGCAAGTACCGCAAAATCGGTCGCCCACGACCGTAGACTGTGCTTGCCGTTTCTTCCTTGCCCACTGCCGTTTCCGCCCCAATTTTCATCTTCTACTGGCAATGATGGCAAGTCTGATGGAGTCTCAATGACTGATGGAGGAACAAGCCAAGTATTCATCCGAAATCCATATGGGAGATTACCAAACTAAACCCAAAAAATTTATAAACTAATAAGAAAACACATCAATTAACCATTTAGTTCAAACTTAATCAAAAAAAGATACAACTTACCTTGTTATGTTCGAGAAACGCCTTCATCAAGGACTCGTAAGCCTGCGGTTGAGCAATTCGTTAGTTTTACAAACCGAAGCATCGAATCGAAGAGAGCTAGATTCAAAATACTAACATTGGCAAAAGCTCTGCTGAGTTGCTGCAAAAGGTCCACAAGGGAATGGCTCTGTAGAAACTGCTTTCCTGCAGTATAGAATCCCTTTGCTGAGGCAGTCACTTGTATGAGTTTCCCATTGCATATCTTAATCTGCACATTTGAAGGAAAGTTCTTCAACAAAATCATCCTTTTGGAAAATCAAAAGCAAGAATTAGAAAGACACAGCACCTGCATCCCAAAGTAATCCCCATCGTGCTTCTCTTCCGCTGCGCCTTTCGGGTCGGATCTCCTCAGTTCTGAGAAACCATCAAAAACAGAAACTTTTTTCAATAGAAAGCAACAACATATGACATTTTTTCGATCATAGTTCACATTTTGTCGATGTACTGTAATTGAAGTAACGATGGTTTCTTATGTATATCTATCACTCAATCGCTCACAAACAAATGTGTTTTTAAACTATAGGAACTAAACTATTTCATATTAAAGATGGATGCTAGGTATAGTGATTAAATTATAGAGACTAAATTGTTGTTGGAAGAGCACTCACGTAGAATAGGGGGAGGGATGTGAGCCAGCGAGAAGAACTCAAAGAAGTCGGAGAGCTTTGGCGTCGGATGAATAGCTGCCATGCCGAGATTGTCGGAAACAACCGAAACGGATGGCTCCGGATGGGGAGACGGGGACCCGCATCGAGCTTCCGACAATCCATCGGCCGGAGAAGTCGGGCCGGAGGAATTCCCGTGATTGTGGACCCTGCTATTCTTCTTGGCCCTCGACTCCGGCGTCGAGGCTCGCCTCGATTTGCAAAACCTGGTGGTGCAGGCAACAATGTCCAGCAGCCTCCGCACGTGCGCCACTGCTTCAGCTTCATCGGAGTAATCCTCTGTAAACAGTTAAAAAACAGAGAAAACAATCAATCAGATTATGCCTAAGAAACCACTGATCCAAAATCTCGAAATTTTTTCATTATTTTTGACAACCCAATTCTTCTGCACAGTGCACAGTAGATTTTAAGATTTCAAACTGTTCTTTCAGTTCGCCCCTTACATTTTGAAAATTCCAAACTCCTCCCCTGTTTTTCAGGAATTTCCATGGATGATCCTCTGCAAATTTTCTTGCTTATAACATTTACTTTATCGCTGGAGAGTACAATCTTTCCACATTTGGGCATTCACTTACAACACAGAGTTTACCAATTTGGGTAAAAAAAAAAGACAGACACCTTCTGTTTCTCCAAGAATTCAAGTAAACATTCCGACAGCTTTTCCAAAATCCTTAAATTCTGAGTTCATTTGATTCTCCTCAAACAAAATCCAACATTTTTCTTTAGTTTCAAACCCACTTTTACAGATGACCCAAATGGGCAAAAGGGTCACAATCTAAGACACAAAAGGAATGAAGAAACAACAGAGGTTAAAATCACCACCATACCTTCAACCATTTTTAACAAACAGGGTTTCAGATTAGCAATCTCCACCTTATCATTCAACCTCTGCCCCTTGACCTACAAAAGACCAACAACTTCATAAAAATCATTAACAATAATAATAAAAAAAAAAAAACCATACACATTAAACGATCATAAAAAAACAAAAGAGAAAGAAAGAGAAACCTCATGGGACAAGGAATAATTGGTTAGGTGGCATGTCTCTACATTCTGAGCCAGCAGCCTTCTCACATCCAGAATCTTATCAGTAGTGATACCCTGTAACAAAATTTCAAAACTTTAAAAAACCCCAATTCAAATTCCCAAAAACCCTTTTAAAATAAACTTCGGCAGAAGAAGAAGAGGCAGCAAACCTTGAGGACAACTTGGGATTCATAAGGAGTGACAACAGTGATGTCAACAACACTTGGAATCACTGCACATTTGGGAGTTCATGTATAAATTCATGTGGGAATTCAGTAGAGACTTAAACAAGAGAGAAAAATGGGTTAAAAATCCACCTTTTTCTTCCTTCTTCTTCTTCTCGGATTTTGCTCTGTTGGGTTTTCCTCTGGTGGACCTCGGAGCCATTTTTGCTGAGCTTGAGGGGAAGAAAATGGAGAAGTTGAAATGAATGATTAAGAAGAGAAATGACGGAGACCCAGATGAACAAAAACCATGAGCAGTGAATTCAGCAGAGATTGAGGAGAGAAAAGAGAGTGTATTATGGGAATGGAGGATTGAGTGAGAGAGAGAATAGAGAGAGAGAAGTGATTAAAAATGCAAAAGAAGAAGAAGAAGAAGATAGGATAAGGGGATCTTTAGGATTTTGAGAGGAATTGTAGCCTCTCCTTGTTGCTCATGGCCTGATTACATTACACTTCTTTTATTTCTCTCTCTCTGTGGAACACATGTGATGGAGATTTATGGAAGGGAGGGGCAAGAAAGGGAGAAGAAAAGAGACAAAAACAAAAGGGTCGAGAGAGGACCGTTGAGAGGGCGACACGTGGCGGTGGAGAGAGCTCAGCCGTTCATTTTTTGTTTTATGGGATGTTTTTTCAGAACGTCTAGATTTTCTCACCAATTGGGCGGAAGTAATTATGGGCTGCTAAAAAAACTATGCCTTGGCCAATTTTAGGAAAACACAGCAATCTCTTTCTCCTATGTCACTCTTTTATTTAATTCTTCCTAATTGAATTGCTTTTAAGTTTTAACACACTACACAACTTAGCATTTTGAGCGTGACAGAAATTCTTTGTGGGTTTTTTAAATTTTTCATTGAGGTTGTGAGTTGGTTGGTACTTGGGGTTGGTGTTGATCTTTGTTAGGAAAGACATTTAGTCGGTCGTAACGTACGTTTGCGTTTGCGTTTTTAATGTTAGAATTGAATTTTGAGAAATCTTTCGTTTTGGTTTGTATTATTGGAAGGAAGCTGAATTTCATGATAAATTGAATAACGGTATTATTTACGTGCATCATATGAAGTTTTTCTTAAAAAGTAAAGTTTGGAATCAATCCTTGCTTGGGTTGTAGTATGATAAATGGAAGAGTGCTCTTTTTCATAAGCTAATAATGAATTTAAGGAAAAAAAAAACAACTTAGGGCTGTTTAATGACTATTTGGTTTTTTGTTGGGTTTTTATGTATTTCTTTGTTTTGTTACCTACTTTTTAATAACATTATTAAAACCTAAGTCAAATTTTGAAAATTGAAAAAAAAAATCTTTTTTGTTTTTAAAATATAGCTATGAATTCAAAACTTCGAAATTGAAGTTTGAGAATCGTTCTTTTTGACTTGTAGCAATAGGAATCTAATTTCACAAGAAATTGAGTAAACATCGTGAATTGACATATATCTTACGTGTATTACATGAATTTTTTTTTGAAAAAAATGAAGTTTAGAATAAACATTTGCTCAGTCCATTGTAGCATGAGAAATGAAAGAGTAATCTTTTTTACAAGCTATAAAAGAGGAGATGAAGGAAGAGAAAACAGAAAACCCTACAGCTTAGACATGTTTAATAACCCTTTTATTTTATTTTATTTTTTTGAAAATTAAGTTCATAAACATTCCTTCAATACGGTGGTTTGTTTTGTTATCTATTTGTTAAGAATATTTTTAAAATTTAAAATAATAATATTTTTTTTAGTACATGTGGGTGGGGATCGAATTCATAACCTCTTGATTGGAGATATAGGTCTATTACTGCTGAGCTATGCTCGTTTTAGCAATAATAATTTTTTTTAAGAAAAATAATAATAATAATAATAACCTTTTTTAATTCGCCTTGAATTGAAAACTAAATTCGTATTTGAAGATTGAAGTTTGATGAATCATTCCGTTTTACTTGTACTAATTAGGAATCTAATTTCGAGAAATTTAGTAAAAGATTGTCCTCATATGGTTTGTTTTTTCTTGAGAAAAATGAAGTTTAGAATAAAATGTTTGCTTGATTTGTAGCATGAAGAAATGAAAGAGTAGTCTTTTTCACAAGCTAAAAAAAGAAAAAAGAAAAAACCTAGATAGTTAAATAACCCTTTGATTTGTTATTTTGTTTTTAAAAATTTAACTCACAACCATTATTTCCACACATGTGTTTCTTTTTAAAATGGTTTTTTAAATCTAAGTCAAATATTAGAAACAAAAATATTTTTTTTATTATTATTATTATTTTTTAAATTCGACAATAATTTAAATTTAGATGCATCAAAGTATTCTCATTTAAAAAATATATTTTCAAATTTTAGAAAATGTGTATATTAATTACATTCTCATTTCCTAGTAGCTCGATTATTCAATATTATACTTTGCTTGACAAACTAAGTCAAAATATACTTCATGTCTCTACTTAGCTATGAGAGATCTATTCTCACACATCACTTACACTACATTAATTTCATCATTCAAATCTCATCGACAAATAGCATATTAAATGTTAGTAATATATTTTTAAATTTATGTTTAAATACTATTTTGGTATCTTTACTTTCAATTTTAGTCCATTTTGGTTTATGTATTTTCAAAACGTCTATTTTTGATATGAACATCTTCCATTTTTGTTCATTTTAATCCTATGTAATTTTAGCATGACAGTTCCCTCACTAAATTTCTTGAAATGCAATTGATCAATAATTAAAAGTACAACCACCAAAACAAAAGTTGTGAAAATACAATGACTAAAATAAATAAAAATAAAAAATATGGAGATGAAAATAATATTTAAACCTTAAATATATTTGCAAGCTTTGAAAAATAATGAACTTGTGTAAAGAGCTATTTAAAAATATGAATATGGGTCATAAAATTCACACTTTAATTTATCAGCTAGCGAATAGAATAGGGTGACTAGAAATTATTCAATACAAACCTTGGAGTTAGAGTAGACAACATTAAATGCACTTAATTTATTGCCATAAATTTTGAGGCATATATTTTCGATAAAAAAATTGTACATTCGAATCTCTAAATGTGACTTTTTAGAGATTTATTAAATTTGAACTATAACGAGATATTTTTATTTATTTTATTAAAAAAAAAGGTTGTGTTCCTTCTTTTTTAGCCTCTTTGCTTCTAAGAGATGCGTTTGGTGATGTTAATTTTTTTTATTTCCTTGTGTGTGAAACCAAAAATATTGCATTTATTATGAAAATAAATTGTGCTTTTTTCCATTTGTAATCATACTCAATATCTTATAAAATTAAACATATTTCAATTTGCCCTTAAAATTTTGAAAATTTCAACGATCCCTTAATTTGTTTAAAAAATACTCTCTTAGCAATCTTCATTAAAATGTCTACCATAACTAAAATATTAGGGATAGAATTAGTACTTTTAAAATGTGAAATGGTGAGTTTGGTCTGTGACCTGAAAATAAGTGATTCAATAAAAAAAAAAATAGATAAAGATGTATTCTATGTTTTAAGAATTTTTTTTTCCAAAATGTTACGTTTTGTAATATATTTGTCAATTAATGGTAGTCATCAACTAAATATTTAATTTAATCTAAAATATTATTAACTAATTTATTAACATATGTGTTATAAATTTTGTATAATTATTATTTTACAATATTATAGAATATATAGTATATGTATTTTTACATGTTTTAATTAAAAAAAATGAAATGCATTTATAACATGAAATAGTTAAAACAAATTATCTTTTTTTAATGTAATTATTTCAAATTCAAAATCTTAAAAACATTAAATATATATATATATATATATTTAAAAAGACACTGATCTAAAAAATTTCCACTATTTAATATCCAAAAACAATTTTAAAATACAAGTCTACCAAATAGATATTCAGAGTCTGATCAAACAACAAACATAGTACAAAGACCCATAATATGGTTGATTTCAATTTGGGTACTAACATTTTTAGAAGTCTCAATTCTACCTCAATTTTTCTAAGTTTTTAATAAATAAAAAAAATGGTAACAACATGTTTCTTTTTTTCTATTTTTATCTTTAATGTTAATAGTAGAGTTGAAACTTCTGATACATTAAAAGTAAAATTAAAACTAACTAAATAATACTACTTAAGCTCAAGCGAGTATAGCTCAACAATAATTAACATATATATTTCCAATCAAGAGGATGTGAGTTCGATCCCTCGCTCCTATAGTAAAAAAAATACTACTTAAGAATAACTTGAATCAATAAATAAAAAATTGTAATATAGTTTAATAGAGTAGGAAAAAAGCAAAAGAAAATTGAACAAAATTTTCCTTTTTTTCCCTTAGTACGACAAAATTAAAGAGAACTTGTAAAACTTTGTAACAATATTATTAATTGGATGGTGGTAAGAAATTGACACGTTTAAAACCTCCTAAAAGGGTCAGCCAAACCTCTGCATTGGCAGAAGGAAAATCTGAGGAATTTCTGATGAAAAGGAAGGAGACAAGAAAATAGTTCAATCCTAATCAGTTCTTAAAAATAGATGTTCGTAAAAAAAAAATAAAAAAAATATGATGGTTGGATAAAAATGAATGTCTAGGCCACCTCTAATGACATAGGTTTGAGTTTATTTGTTTAATTATTTTGTCGAGATTAAATGAAGATTATACTACGATGCTAACATGAGTATAGCTCGAGGTCGGAGGTTCGATCTCCTATATCCTCGAGTTGTTGTACTAAAAAAATGATATTACACCAGAAGTAGATGGCGTGTTTGGAAGTGCTTATAAAATATGTGTTTTTAGAATCCCGAGAAAAAAAAAAGTTAAAATAGAAGCATTTTTACTACTGATAACAAATCACTTTGATGTTTGGTTTTACAGCATCAAAAGTACTTCCAAATCACGGTAAAATAACTATAAGTGTTTTGATTTTTTCTAGAAGTAATTTTGTGTTACTCGCAACATGACGATTTTAAAGGTAAAGTGCTTTTGAACGTTGTAAATGTGCTCAATCTCAAATAGGTGCACTTAAACTCTTATATAACCATACTCATGTTGTCACGGACAAATATTTAACTTTGTAATATTCCTCATATCTACTCAATGTTTTTCCCCCTTCAGAAAGTAGTAGTTTAGAGCATTTCTAATTTTTTGTAACTGTTAATTTATCTAACTAAACACTATATTATGAGAAAAAAAAAGTTATATATATATTGTTTATTTATTTAATACCCAACCTTAATTCTTACATTATTCAATAATTGTTGAGTTAGAAATCGAACTCAACAATTATGTTTAGATTTACCTTTACCATCTTTGCTTGTGGGTTGAATTCAAAGAAAGAGACCAATTTGCTATTGGTACGTTTCACATTTATTGGACAAAAAGGGAAAAAGTTTTCACAAGGAAAACGTGAACTTTTGATTTGTGTTTTTCTCTTCTAATTAGAGTCTTACTCGTGAGATGTGATTTTGGCCCAATCAATATAAAAATATCCTAATTTCGGTTCTTCACATTTGTTTAAGTTTTTCAAACTAAAATGAGGCAATCTCCAACTCCATAACAAAAACATGACACAACTTTTGTTATCATCAAACCAGAGCTCCCAATTACTACWACTCACATTTGTAAGTCTTCGAAGAGACAAATAGATTTTGATTCCAGTTTTATAATTATTTTATTTTTAGTTTTCTATTTTTAAAACTTATGTCGATTCTTATGATTTTTAAATATTTTTTTATATTTCTTCGACAACCATTTGAATTCTTATTCAAAATTTTAAAAACTACTTTTCCTTTTTGATATTAGTCTTAAATTCTGAAATAATGTTTAAAAAGGTAATAAAGCACATAGGTGGAAGTAGTATTTATAGATTCAATTTTCTTCTCTTAGTACAACAATTTGGGAAGGAATACATGTGAATTACAGTTGATGTTATGCATTTATAGGTTTAATTTTAAAAAACTAAAAACTAAAAATAAAATAATTACGAAATAGAGCCATTTTTTAATTTCTGCAATAATACTTTTCAAACTGATTTTTCCACCTACAAAAAAAGGGCTGCCATTAATGCACTTTCTAAAAGTAATATGCTTTAAARGATATTGATAAATACATGGTAGTTTTGGTTAGCGTGGAAATAAATCGACACCTATCATTGAGAATTTTGTTTTCCCTAAATGGATCTTACGTATTAAACAACCAAGTGAGGAGACTTGTTCTAATCTAAAGCTACACAACACATGCGTATTGCAACAATCTTCTTCAACTAGGGAATCCAAAAGAAACTCTTTTTTCTCCCTCCATTAATTTTTTCATTTATTGATCTTGAATTGATGTATAAGAAGTACATGCACATGCATGACACCATATTTATATTGTGACATGTTATTTTACGGAAAGTATTTTAATGTTATTTGTTCTCGAAATTTATTATTTGTGTCGTATATTGCTATTTAATCTACTTATTATGCTTAATAAGTGTTTAATACATGCTTAACAAATATTCGACTCGTTTAATTTGTACAACTAGTGTCAAGCACGTGTTTATTGTGCTAACAAGCATCTGACACGTGTCCCTACAAGTGTCKGAGTGTCGAAATATCTAACATGTGTTAGAACACGAACGCATTACCTAAACTAAAGTGTCTGTTTTTCTCAGTGGCTTAACTGAAACCACGTGTAGTAGYAGTACTTGTGTTGGATTTTAAAATGTATTTGAATTTATGTTCAACGATGAATGAAAATTAATGACAAGGACTCGAAGTTTAATAGGATTTTAGGGGAAAAAATAAAATAAACATGAAAAATGAGGGATTAAGACAAAATATATAGRAGTCTAGAGAATGCAAATTTAGGAACCAAAAATGGTTTCAAACCTAAATATTTCACATAGGAGGGGTTGGTTGTAAGGGAAGAATATCCAAAGATCAAAATACCTAAGAATTTAGATGCATGAGAAAATCAAGGATATTAGTAGTTGTAGCCATGCAGGATAGTATTCAATAATTTAGACAAAATTAATTCATTGTACCAGCTAATAATTTAGGCACCTAAGAGCTAAGACTCCCTTGAAATTAACGCCCTATGCTGTATTTTTCTCCTAATATCCCTACTTTTCTGAGTATTCCAGGTGTCAATATTCAATATGCAAAGTCTTTTAATGGAGATATTATGTAAGGTTGAATGAAATATCAATGTAAATTCATACAAAATAACTATGTTTATGAACAATAAAGTTACCGGGAATCTTGAGGAGATGGCAATGCTAATTTCTCTGTAGAATTTCAGAAAAATGACCGCAGAGCTTTGATTACCTTCTCGGGCCTGTTTATGATAATATAAAAGCTTCATGCAGTGAAGAGGAGTTATATGCAAATGAGAAATGTGAAGTGAAGTAATTTTACCAGTCCTCTTGGGGCATATGGCCAGCCCCTTCAATTAACTTGAGCTTGATTGTTGTTGAGTTCTGTTTTTGAAACTCTTCTGCAATGGACTGGGGAAGATACTTATCTGAAATGCCCCAAACAACAAGACTTGGTTTGTCCCATCTGTGAGCCACAGGAAATTTTGTTATGATGAACTTTTTTCATATCAGATTAGTTCTTCAGCCTGATATTAAAGCAAAAAAGAAGTCACCAGCAAACTGTGAACCGTTTTAATTCAGCCTGACATTCATGCATTTCCGGAGATGGTTTCTGAATGTGATTTTTACAATAAATGTATAAAGATCATGTTTTCTCCTATTTCCTCAAATAAGTTCAAGGTTTAAATCCTATTTTGGTCCAATATACAAATCCATAAAATATCTGTTTAGGTATGTTAGGAGTATAATTTGAATGAATATTTGAAATACTATTAAGATACTAAGCCATTTGACAGGGGGTCAACGTTCTTCTTTTTCTCTCTGCCAAAGAACTTCACTGCCACCACTGTGATATGTATGCACCCACCAAAAAACCACCTCACAGCTAGGTTAAAAAAACTTGTATTTTATATGTTAACAGCAGACTTTGTGAAGAATAACAACAAAAAAAGGTTTTGGACTTTTTAAGTAACTTGGCCCAACAAGCTACCTCATTCCCATTTCTTTTAGTTTTTTTTTTTTTTGGCTCCACTAAATTTCCCAACATTTGGTTAATGAAATGTGGCTATAAATAGGATGGATTACTATGAGTTAGAGGTAAGCAGTTTTCCAGAAACAGCTTGTTGGACAGTTAAGACCTTTCAAAGTGCTTATTGACTTCTTAGTTCTTAATACCAATACTACTATTTATTAATTTTCATTTAGTTTTTATCGAAAGGATTCAAAGGAATACTAAAATTTTATGCTAAAGATTAAAATGGCTTTTTATATGAAGTTCAAGGAAATAAGTATGAACGACATTATGAAAGATCTAACAAGTGGTCTTGTATCTACAGTAACAAATACGTATAAATGCATAATTACACGGAAAATAGCTAAAAACAATTAGGAAACCAGAAAAAAACTGACCTTCCAGAAGCAAAGCCAGCACTTATCCGACTTAAGATATCGTTGAAATTAGCTTTTCTTGATGCTTCAAGTAAAGCTGAAAAGAAAAAAAAAGAAAGTAGAAAAGCATAATRTTGTTATTTTGTAGGATCTCTCCAAACCGATAAGGGTAATTTAGATTGATTTTATTTATCGAGTTTAAATTGATAAACTTTACTACTTACCAAAACCAGGTCCTCCACTAGACAAGTATGGAAGTCTATAAACATCGGCCTTTTCCAGCTTCAATACATATCTGAAAATACAGAAAATACGTTCGTCAACGTGCATGTAGAATTGGTTAATATTCCAAAATCAAGAGAAAAACTATTGAATGAATTGAGCATTTCTAGGAAAATAGAGATACATAACGTTATAAACATACACCTCAACTCTTTATCTCAGAAAGAGAACTTCATTGACATACCCAAATATCTATCCCTGTATCTCATAATCTGAGAGTTAAAGAATCTAAATTTTTTTTTCTTTTTTTTAATAATCGAGAGTCGGAGCTCTCCTCTATATCCAAGAGCACCCGCACCCACCCCAGGACCTGAACCCTGGAGACATAAAARATTTTTGGTATTAAGTTCATCAGAAGGTTCGAGCTTAAGACCTTTTAAACCAGTATGGCTTAGAGACCTCGAGTTCCTTGCCAACCCTTGGGGGTAAAAAACCTAAATTTTGAAAGTGAAAAAAGGCAAAAGCTATTGGAAGTGAATTTGTATGATGGCATGCTTTGTTTAACCAAATATATGATAATTATTTGACCTTATTTTTTGCAGACAGAAGACCCCACGAATTTCTTCTTTTTGTTTTATAACCAAAGTGTCGGATGCCCCACTTATTGCATAATAATGCTCATGGCCCCCTCCCCGCTAATCTTCAGGAAGCTTCACCTACCCAAGGCCAAATCCAACGGATAACAACAAAGAGTTTTAAGTTACTAAGTTCAATCCAGAACTTCAGAAGGTATGTCAAACATCTCAAGCCATCAGGCCACCCAATGTACTTCACAAATATTTTATTATGCTACAGCAAACATATCTTAGTTGTCGCTATATCTTTTATGATCCAGAATGAACTCACAGATGGTCAAAATTTCAGTCTAATCTGTATATTCATCCTTTTTTCTGTGAACTCACAAAGTTTCTAACAACTCTAAAAGTTGGAAAAGCATCACCGGAAGGATTAACAGAAGTTCAATACAGTGTTAAGATGCTCTTAGATACATACGCGCTACCTGCTTCAATAAAACGTTCGGCCATAACTGCATTCTGGCATGTGAATTCACCAAACAGAGGGATTCTGTTTACATAGTAAACAAACTGAGACATATCATTAACAATAATTTGAAGTAAAGAAAAGGTATTCTACAAGCTTAGAAGTGAAACATAAGGTTGATTCTAGTCAGTCTATCGTGGTGTCGTTGCAAATTAAAAAGATTACTCAATTAATAAACATTTGATGGATGCTGTGCTAGTAAATCAGAGCTTGAAGGGCGGTAGAAATTTAGCTGGCTCGATTAGTTATTTCATCATAAGCCTAAATGAAGACTCTGACACTCATGGTCAAGATTTAGTCCTTAAAGTAAAGAAAAGGATCAAACATAAATAGTTGCTGACATTACAAGTTCAATGCATTAGATAGAATCATCATATTGAACCTTAGCTGTTGAAATAACCCAGGAACAGGAGAAGAAACCGTTAGTGGACTGTTTAGAATGGATATCTTTGATATTCTGCTTTGATTTTTCAAGGCCCATGTCAATCCATATGATCCGACCAAAAAACCCTTCAAGAAAAATTGTGTTCAGGTTAAGAAAGCAGTAGGATAAGAACAGATGTAGATTTTTATACAGTCAATTTTATGACACAAGCATGTCAGCTTGGCTATAAATCTAATTTTCAATGAAACACTTGTTAGCTTTCCTGCCAAGTTCAGCTCCAACCTGAATCACTAAGTTAAAGGGAGCGTTGACACCGAGCACATCAAGTAGTTTATCCAGTTCCTCATGGTACTCTTTCTCTGTGTCAATGCAAATATCACAAATTACGCTACAGAGGAGTGTATTGAAACAACCAAAGATTATAGAGCGAATGATTTAAAAATTATAAAAACCTGTATAATTAAATCCGTATCCTGGCTGTGGCTTGTCACTGAAACCGAATCCTATCCAATCAGGAGCAAAGCAGTGGAATCCAAGACCAGACATCTGGTCGATACAAAGTGAAATAAAATTAAAGAGGTAAAGTTTCACCTAGAAAAAATGCAAAGTTGTAACTTAAAAGAAATATGGTCAGATTAAGATTGAGATTCAAGGGCACATGGACGACCTAACTTTTGAAACTCAGTACATACAAGAWTTAGTCGTGATAAAATAAAGTAAACAAAACGGGTTGAGGAACTGTAGAAGTCTTTCTAGCTCCACCTATGGTTGACGGGTTTAAGATTTCCATGGTTGTGAGATTTTGGAAACTCGATAGATAATAAGAAAGTTCAATGCAGTTTTAAACATGATTTTAGCAAGACCTCAGACATAACAACTCGATAGCTATAAGATTGTGTTGGAGCGCCGTGAAGGAAGACTATAGTTCCCCGCCGGCTTTTGGCAGACCCTACAAGATCAAAAGATTCTCATTGCTTATCATTGAACAAAAAAACTTGGAAGTATCTGAGGTAACATACCAGTCTCTCTAACAAACCATCTGAATTTCCCAGATTTGACGTAAGAGCCATATTCCTKTCCTTTATCTTCTATTCTCTATTGAAAGATAAACACGTTAGAGGCACTAAATTGCACGCAAATTCAGCCAGCATGAAATCCTTGAAAAAATCTGTTAAGTGAGAATCATCCACCACATGAAAATTAATATGCAACATTGCGATAGATTGTTAAAGTAAACAATTTCCCAGAATAATGACCAACAGATTTTCTCGATAGAAATTGTATACATTTTTTAAACATTATAGGACTGAATTACAGATTTTCTAATTTTTATAATCCGACTATTTCCACGATTTTAAACTCTGTCGAGCAATCAATTGAAGGTGGAAAAAATATTAGCATAACCTTCCAACATAATAAAGTGTCAACARATGAAATTTGAAGCTCAAATCTCTTATCATATGCTACCACTAATAGTCCACTGTTGAATATAGGAAAAAAGTATCAAAGTCACACGTGAGAGATACACATATGAAATACATTGATCCGGAGAACTGGAAAAATATATCAGATAGCAATAGGTCATGAACTAGTGATGAATTCATAAGTGGCAAGCACGATCAAATCGGTTCCAGCGAAGCTTGAATCAGTAATTTCCCAGAAATTTCATCAATCAATTTACCAATTCGTACGATTACCCGCGCACCGACTTCAAATTAGTTTGCTGCCATGGAAAATGAATCACGAGGGATTGTACTTACATAGAGCATTTGGCCGACATTGCCATCCTCAGCGGGGCTCTCGGGAAGTTGAATTGCACTCCGGCTCGACGGATTGTCGGTGACGAACCCAAAGGGGTTGAAACCGGAACGATCGGCGTCGCCGTCGTCCGTTTCATCTTTGCCCTTGGCACTGGCTGTGATTCTGGCGGCGGTGGTTGATGGTCTGATTCTGGTAGCGGCGGCGGTGAAGTAGCAGTCCGATTTGGTGGAGGCGGGGAGGGAAGAGAGTGGATAAGGCGACGGCAGATTGAGAGGTTGAGAGAGCAGAGCCCTGGCCATTAGCTCTGTGACGGGTTTGAGGTTGAGAACCAACGGTTTTAACTGACTTTTTCATTATGTAATATGTATGCAACTTTATTATATTTACTTCAAAGACGCAATTTTTTTTTTGTCGGTGTATTAACCATTTGACATGAAGAATCTAAACCCATAATTTAATTGATGCCATATCGACTTTGGAACTAATTTAATAATTAGTTAATATGTTGGTATWTTTCAACTATTGAGTGGTTTTAATTATGTATATGCTTTTTTGTTTAGTGTTGTGTTTTGTTGAATAAAAAACAATTTATTAATCTTATTASATTGTCGGTATTTAGTCCAAGTTGCATATTTGAGGAATATCATAAATTGCAATTTCTTGTGGGTTGCGATCAATCTGGTTCGGTTAATTCTAATATCTTTATACATTTTTGTTTTATTTCAGGTTTGTATCAATTGTCTTGATTATTTTTTTAATTGTATGTCCTTATCTTCACGCGTTATAATTCCTTTTTAACTTTTCCGACCATCAATTTAATCTCCACCATATATTTATTGTACTTAATAAGTAAAAATAAATAAACAAATTAGAGATTTGAATCTAAACTCACAAGTGATTCAGATTCGATTGAGGTTGATGCCTCTAGCTTATTGTTTGTTGAAGGTTTTTGGAGTTTTATGCTTTGAGCTTGATGAAGACTTCAACTATGCACGTTGATTAAGCTTGCAGCTTTGATGAAAGTCTCTAGCTTGCAGCTTAAAGAAGTTCTCAGACTATGCATCTTGACGAAGTCTTCAACTTGTTACTTGACAAAGTTTTTTGGTTCGCAGCGTGATAATGTCTTTGACTTGCAGCTTTGACGAAGTTCCATGAAATTATTCGGTTACATAGCTTTATGGAGTATTCAGCTTATTACTGAAGTTCTCTGACTCGTTKCTTTGTTGAAGAATCTTCGGTTTATTGCTTGATGAAGAAAAAATAATCAATTCTTGAAGTCTCATAGTCTTCGATTATTCAAGTCTTCAACTATGGTCGGTTCTAGATGCTCTATTGGATGCTTGTAGGTGATCCTGAATCCACTCTTGGSCAATCATTCTAAGTGAGAGGAGTCTTAGCTGGTCTTATGTAGGCCTTTTCTCCTRAGTTTACGTAGTTTGAGCACAATCTTCTTATAGGATGATTTGATTAATGTTATTGGACCGGCCATAAAAAAGATGCATAATTTAATTCGCCACTTTTTAAATTAATTCGAGGATACATTTAAATTTGTAATGGATCCCAAATATAATTTTGTCATTTTTAAAATAATAAAGTATCTCTTGATAATTTGTCAAAATTATGTCTCATTTTGCTCACATACCATATATCTTTATCTGAAGCAATAACAGCCGTTAGATTTGCTATTTGAAACGCTAAGATCAACCGAGCTTAACAAGATCAGATTAAAATTGGCCGTAGCACATCAGAGCCCTGGAACAACCGAATAAGGGGAAGGTTCCGAAGCTTCCACTGCGGTTGTTGGGCTCGGCATCGGCAAAGTTTGAGAAATCCACTGTACAGAGAAAGAGAAACTCGGATGCTCACCAGAACCCGACCCGCCCGGCCGTGAGTTCTCAGGTCGGCGGCGTAGTTTCTACTTTGAATTCTAGCTTCGGAAACATCCAACGTTTATCTGCAATTACGGCCGAGATCCCACGCACTTCATCAATGTTCTGTAATTCCTTCAATTCGCTATCTGTTCTTTCCTTGAACTGTCTTTCAGGGTTTAATTTTGTGTTGTAATTTTCTATCCGGGATATATTTTGAACTCATTTGCATGTGATTGCCTTGCGGGAAGGGGAAAGTTAATAGACGAGAGGAATAAGTTTTGTTTGCGAGTTCGAATTTGGGTAATTCGGGGATTCGAGCTGTTGGTTTGTTTTTTCTCTCAGCTGAAGTATGAGATTCATGATTGTTATTGAGTTATTGCTTTTCGGTAATCTTTAATGGTGCAGTTGTTTGGAAGTTATGTGATTAGGCAGTAGGAAGTTTAGTCATTGTGGGCAGGAAGGAAATCTCTAAATGCAATGTTTTCAGGAACTTAGGATTCACAGAAACCGATTTGTTACTTGGTGGTGCATTATAGATTCTCATATTGTCTGAATCATTTTACATCCATTCACATAAAAATGTCTTCCTAATTTTCTGGAAGTGAGTTTTTCTTGTTTATTTGATGGCATTGAGACCCGAAAGACAGTGAGGTGACGGAGGCTCGAAATTGAGGAGGGTTGAAAATAATGCTTCTTGATATATTGTCTTAAGAGATTGATTTCATTAATAGAATTGTTAGCATTTGACTCTTCTTACTTGTTCAAGTTCTGCTTGCTGTTTGCTTTTAGTTTTTAGTTTTTACTTAACAGAAAAATTAGAGCATAGTCTGATTAAGACAAGTTTTCTGCTTCGTGTCTGCTGAATCTGTTTCTGCCTAGCCTCAGAATTTTAAGTCTTCTGGTTCTGCTAATTGTTCATATGCTGATTAGGAAACGATTAGTTTGTGTTAGGGGTTGAATGAGTTATGGAAGAAACCTCTCTCACCAATGAGTATTCACCTCACGTGGAACACAGTGAAATTCATAAAGATGGAGATGGAGATGAAGATGCTCCAATTTCAGAGTTAGATGGCCATAATGGAAGAAAAGAATTTGTTCAACCTGCTGTTGGAATGGAATTCGAGTCATATGAGGATGCTTATAATTACTATAATTGCTATGCTAAGGAAGTGGGTTTTCGTGTTAGAGTGAAGAATTCATGGTTTAAGCGGAATAGTAGGGAAAAGTATGGTGCGGTGCTTTGCTGCAGCAGCCAAGGTTTCAAAAGAATTAAAGATGTTAACCGATTAAGAAAGGATACCAGAACTGGTTGTCCTGCAATGTTAAGGATGAGGCTAGTGGACTCACAAAGATGGAGGGTTCTTGAAGTTACACTTGAGCACAACCATTTATTAGGTTCTAAGATATACAAATCGATGAAGAAGGCGAATGGTCCACCTAAAAGGAAGACACAATTGAGTTCTGATGCCGGAGATCGAACTATCAAATTGTATCGAGCACTTGTGATAGATGCAGGTAGTAGTGGGACCGCAGATGTTAATGCTAAAAAAGTCCGAATTTTTCCTGATCATTCAAATCATTTGAACCTTAAAAAAGGTGATTYGCAAGCCATTTATAACTACCTATGTCGTATGCAGTTGACTAACCCAAACTTCTACTACTTGATGGATCTCAACGATGAAGGGCGCCTGCGCAATGTAATTTGGGTCGATGCTCGGTCAAGAGCTGCATGTGCTTTTTTTGGTGATGTTGTTTGCTTTGACAACTCATATTTGTCTAATAAATACGAGATTCCGCTTGTGGCCTTTGTTGGAATAAATCACCATGGTCAGTCAGTGCTGCTTGGTTGTGGCCTCTTGGCTGGTGAGACAACAGAGTCTTATACTTGGTTATTTAAAGCCTGGCTGTCATGTATGTCTGGCCGCTCTCCTCAAACAATTATTACGGATAGGTGCAATCATTTGCTAGCTGCAATTGCAGAGGTATTTCCGAAGTCTCAACATCGCTTTGGTTTGTCGTGCATCATGAAGAAAGTACCTGAAAAATTGGGAGGATTGCGCAATTATGATGCCATCAGGAAGGCATTTAATAAAGCAGTTTATGAAACTCTGAAAGTGATTGAATTTGACTCTGCTTGGGGATTCATGATTCAGCGCTTTGCAATTGGCGATCATGAATGGCTTAGATCTCTGTTTGAAGACCGAGGTCGGTGGGCTCCCGTTTATCTGAAAGACACATTTTTTGCTGGAATTTCTGCCATGCGTCAAGGGGAGAAGCAAAATCCCTTCTTTGATAGGTATGTTCACAAACAAACGCCGTTGAAAGAATTTCTTGACAAGTATGAACTGGCTTTACAAAAGAACCACAAGGAAGAAGCCTTTTCTGATATCGAATCAAGAAACTCTTTTCCCACTTTAAAAACAARATGTTCTTTTGAGTTGCAGCTCTCCAAAGTATTCACAAGAGAAATATTCACGAGATTCCAATTCGAAGTTGAAGAAATGTATTCATGCTTCAGCACAACACAGTTGCAAGTTGACGGACCATTGATCATATTCTTGGTGAAGGAACGTGTAGTGGTCGAGGGTAACAGGAGGGAGATTCGAGAATACGAGGTCCTTTACAACAGAACAGCGGGTGAAGTTCGTTGTATATGCAGTTGCTTTAACTTCTATGGATATCTATGTCGCCACGCATTGTGTGTTCTTAACTTCAATGGGGTCGAGGAGATCCCTTCTAAGTACATTTTATCGCGATGGAAAAAGGATTATAAGCGATTGTATGTTCCAGATTACGAAACCAACCTTGCAGATGTTCCGGACCGTGTGCAATGGTTCAATCAGTTGTACAAATGTGCTTTACAAGTTGTAGAAGAAGGGGTGATTTCTCTGGACCATTACAAGGCTGCATTGCAAGCTTTTGAGGAATCGTTGAGTAGGGTTCATGAAGTAGAAGACAAGCATGAATAACTGRATAACTGAGAGCCTCGGCTCGGTCTAAATTACGTGCTCTRTTGAGATAGGAGTAGTTTTTGTTAAGCATCGATACAAAAGAATTTACTGTGAATTAGTGTAAAAAGTCTTCTTTTCTCTTTTGTGAATCTGGTGCTTGTTTTAAATCTTCTCCATGAAGTTGAAGATATTAAAAGTTGGAAGAATGGGGGAGACTTGAATAAAGGGGGCTTAATTATTGGAATTTTAGTTTTGAACTAAAAGAAAAGAGGGAACAATTGGAAAGTTCTGTGCCATATATATATATTTTACTACCATAAGTAGGGATGGGCGAATTTGAACTCGTGATCTCCCAATAAAAAATAGTCACAAATTACCGCTAAACTAAACTTATGTTGATTCTGTGGCACAGACGACATGAAAACAGTAAAAATGTATGAAGAAAACAGTAAAAATGTATGAAGATAAAAATTATGATGAAATATTTAGGGATATGTTTTATATAATATGTTTGATATATTAATCTTTTCAAATTGTTTGAGAATATTTGTTTTCTTTCACGTGTTTTATTTATCTGTTTTTATAACCTTGAAATATTAACACATTTAAATTGAATATGTTTAGAAAATAATTAACTGATAACATATAAAAGTATGAAATAACAAGATATTATTTGATTTTTTAGTTTAAATGAAAATTAGAGAATAAATTAATAATATTTTAACAAGTTAAGTTATTGTTTGCATGACAAAATCAATTTATATTTTATTTTGTTAGATGTGTTTTCTCATTTAAGGTAAAACGCAGTTATTGACCACGATTTCAGTTAAAACTTGACCAAAAATCACGTGTTAGGGATTGAAATTGGCATTGACTGCAACTTTGGTTCGATATATATCTTTCCTTCACTATTAAATACAAAACTTATGTTTTAGCATATGGCGGCTAAACCATAGTTAATTCACAATTCTATGTTATATTTCATATAACTAATTAAAAAATTATTTATACAAATATATCACTTAAAAAAAATGCCAGTGAATTATTCAAATTATAATTTTTTAAAATAATTTTCTTTTCTCCAACACAGTACAACTACCCATAACGTTTTTAACCTAAAATATATTTATTGTCTATTTGATCTAATTATTGCCATAAGTATTTTTATAAAAAATTAAAAAATAAAACCAACGGGACAATGACATTTCATTTAACAAATTATACACTATATTTTATTTTACTAATCAAGAGGTGCAGAAATCACTCTACATGGTTCAGAAATCGTCTACATTGTACACGACTTTCGAGGAAATCACATACAATGTTTGTAATTTCTCGTGCTAACTCATCTCATCTCCCAATCCACCTCATATATCACGTGTTGGCACTTAAATCGCATCCTTAATTTTTGATAACATAATTTTATAATTTTTTATTTAAATTACATTTATTTTCTCGTTACTTTTCAATGTACATTATTTTCGTAATTTGTTTTCAAAACTACATTATTCTTAAAATTAAGCATTCTCCCCCTAAAAACTGAATATTTTAGAGGCACTTGCAAATATGGCAAAAAAATTTAGTAGAATAAGTAAAATAGTAACCACATTTAGTTTTTTCAAATATAGCAATTTTTTTTAGAAAAAACGGAGGTCCAGTTGTAAAATTACAAATTCACCCTTTAATATATCTGATATATATCTGTAATATATCTGACTACTGATATATATCTCTGATATACCACTGATATAATAATGATATACAATTGATTTACTTATGATATAACCATGATATCTACTCAACTTCTATCATGTCTTACCACTGATATACGTATGCTAACCATTGATTTACCATGCTAATACAATACATATATATGTGATATATATTTGATATGTCTCTAATTTACCGTTGATATACAAATGATATACCACTGATATAACTATGGTATCAACTGATATAACTTATTATATGATTATATGATTTACCACTAATATAACACTGATATATACTTAATATGCTTCTAATTTACCACTTGTATACCTCCGATATAACCATTATATCTACTAATATAACCATTATATATATGTGTTGATATATATATATATATATATATTTTGATATTGTTGATATCATACTATTATATCCAATATCTTTTTCTTATGAAAACAATGGTGCAAAATTTTTTATTTTTTATTTTTGAAATATAAAGTTATTATATAAAAGGTTTATGTGGACCATGCAGTCCAAAAAGACAAGTTAACATTTTGCTGTACTTTATAAATTTAAACAGTTGATATCCTTTATATTTAGTATCTAATTAATATTAATATTGAATAAATAATAGTGATATAGTAATCAACATTATCGATAATATTAGTATATTAAACAACAAGTTGAAATGAAAAACTATAATTTAAACAGCCGATATACCACTCAAAATTAAACATTTGATATAGTTTATATTTAGTATATCAGTTGCAAGTATATTTAGTATATCAGTTGGAAATATATTTAGTATATCATAAATTAGAAGTACATCAGATATATATATTATATGTATAATACGTACATTTGATGTATATCAGTGGTATATTTGATAATGTATATCATGGTATATTTGATACTTTATATTAGAGGTACATCGAATGTATATCAGAAGTATATCAGAGTTACATCGGATGTACATTAGATATAGATTTGATGTATATCGTATACAAATTTACATAAGATGTATATCAGATATAGATTTGATGTATGATATATTGGATGTATATCAGATATAGATATACATCAGATATATATTAGATATCATAAGGGTAAAATTAGAATAATAAAAAATCCGAAAATAAAAATTCAAATATTTTGCTATATTTGAAATTTTGAAAAGTTGATGACATTTTTTAAAATATATAAAATATTTTTACTGCCCATTACAATTACTCAATATTTTACTTAAAAATATTTAAAAAAAAACACATTTCAAATCCGAAAATAAGAAAGTTGAAAAATTGGGTCTCACTGGGGAAAATAGAACGCGCGCCAAGCAAAGTGAAAACCCGCATTTTCAGTCGCTTTGGCGCAAATTTTCCAAAGGTCTTCCTCCTCGCGCTCGCGTCTCGATTCCTTTCCCAGAGAAGCTACTGAGCGCCATTGCTTCTGCTCTCAAGGTACGTTCTCTCCCCCCGCGTTCTTTAAATTTCTGTTTGGTTTCCAAGAAAAACGATCCATGGAAAGAAAAACACGATGCTGAGAAAAAGGTCTCAACCTCAGCTTTTAAACGAAATATATTGTTTTAATCAATCACTTTAACCGATAAACTTCGAGTATACTATGTTTGATCTTCCGTATGCGTTTAAGCCATTAATTTGTTCATAGCTATGTTCATATCTATTTTGAAATTTTCGAAAATTACGGGCGTTTTTACTACTTATTTGAAATTTGCGTAAATTGATTGATCTTTTTTCAAGCTCAATGAGTTTTGACTCTGTTTCTGGCGATCCTCTCGTTTCCGTTGTTTTTCCAGCCAGGTTGGAAGACGTAAAGTAGATTGAGAAATGAAGTTTAAGGCATTTCTCACTGATAATGGTGTAAATCTCTTGGAGAAGAGGTTTCTGCCGGCTCTAGACAAGATGGGAAAAATATGCCATCTCTACTTGACTAGAGATTATGTCATCTTCTTGCACAATCTCCTTAACGGTGATGGAATCCAATCAATTGCTCAGTTCCGGAAAGAAGCTCTCTTCGACGATTACCGAATCTCCAGCCAGAACGATGATCGCATTGCATTTACCATAGACATTTCCCTTCTTCACCGTGCTGTTCGTAGTAGTGTGAGCATTTGTTCTGAGTTTGGTAATGGTCCAACTGCAAATCGCCTCCAAATTAAATTGGTGAAGAAATTGCCTCTGAATTGCACCCAACCAATGCCTTTCCTTACATTTGAGACTAAAGGTTACAAGTCTGCTGTTATTCAGGACGTACCAATCTCAAAGCCCATGTCAAGAGCTCAAGTTCTTGAACTTCAAACTGCTCTAGATATGGCACAAGATTTGCCTCAGACACTTGTGCAGGTTCCTGATCTTAATGAGTTGCAGAACTTTGTAGATCGAATGAAGCATGTTGGTGATTTGCTGAATGTCTCCATAAGCAAGTATGGAGATTTACATGTGCAGATTTCCACAACGTTGATCACCCTTGGTGCTGAGTATCGAAAATTATTCGTCATAGGGGAACAAGCAAATGCTCCAGCTGAAGACGAAAATCTAAGTGCTCAGACTAGATCTACCAAAGCAATATCGAGGGGAGATGCTCAATCTGTACAGGTGAGTGTGAAGCACTTTGCCAAGAGTCTTCAGTATCACTTGGCTAAGCCAGATTGCACTTTCTATGGCATTGCTCCTCAGGGTGCTTGCTTGACAGTGATATTTCAGTTCTTCATCCCTGGCTCTCGACAGACTGATAAATCAATCAGTCTACATTGTCGGCTTCCCGTTCTTGACCCAGGAACGAGTTGAATTTTGATGGCCTTCTCATGTGGGCTATGGTGTTAAAGAGAAAATGTCAATGGAATTCGTCATTTGACGTTATGAATCTAGGATTGTAGTGACTGTAATACAATCTTAAATTTTCTGTGGTAGAAGATGGAAGAACATTAGTTTTTTCTTCCAACAAATGCATCTTTGTCAATTACTTGTGGATTTAAGTATTTAGGCCCTCACTAAACAGCTAGCGAGGGAGAGGTGGGATCGTTGATTTAAAGAATTCAACCATTTCACCAGTAATCTTTACACGAACATAGACCATGTTTGAAATGGTGGAATCTAGTCCTGTCCCTAACAATTACTTCTCTAGTATACACCTCTGAGACCAACTTTGCCATACTGTGACAATCCATGCACATTCTAAGGTTTTTCACAATTCTAATTGTGAACCCCGGTTGTGAATTAACGAGTCCAAAAGCAATGGCCAACTTCTCACTATGACGAAAAACTGCATTCTCTTTATCCTCTTCTGCAATGTCAAGGAACACTTCTGAGATATCAGGTGAATACCCTGCTAATTTCAGGTCTTGGGTCATTTTTTCTAGCTTAACATAAATTTCCTTTGTTTGAGGGTGTGATCTGTCCCCAGCTACGAACTCGTGAACCGTTCCATTCATCTCTATCAAACTGCAACCAGGTGTTTTCTTGATTCCTTTATCCATCATTGTCTGTCTTAACTCTCGCAAGTCATTCCATCTCTTGCAAGCTGCATATATATTACACAGGAGAACATAGGCAGCACCGTTCTCAGGCTCCAACTGGAGAATCTGGTTTGCAGCCATTTCAGCCATATCAGCTTCCTTATGAACTCTACAACCAGCTAGAAGAGCTCCCCAAACTATTGAATTGGGTTTCATTGGCATATTCTCTACAACTTGATGGGCTTCTTTTAGACGACCAGCTCGGGCAAGAAGATCAACCAGACAACCATAGTGTGCTATATTGGGTTCAATGTTATGTTGGGTTGTCATGCTACGAAAAAACTCTCGTCCTTCATCTACCATGCCGGTGTGAGTACAGGCAGAAAGAACGCCAATGTAAGTAACCTCATCTGGCCAAATTGAAGCTTTTAGCATTTTAGAAAACATATCCAGAGCTTTCTCACCATGCCCATTAACTGCAAGGCCAACTATCATGGCTGTCCATGTAAACTTGTCTCTCTGGTTCATTTCTTTGAATACCCTTTGTGCTTTGTCAACATTTCCACACTTGAAGTACATGTCTATTAAAGCATTTCTAACAAATGCATCGTTGTTGATCTTGTTTCGGTCGATATAAGTCTTTATCCATTCTCCTAACTCAAGGGCTCCCAGATGTGCACAAGCATTCAGAATACTAACCATAGTGAACTCATCAGGCTGCACATTTGTTACTTGCATATTGCGGAATAGCTCCAATGCTTCTTTGAATCTGTTCACGTGGAGGTATCCATTGATCATGGCAGTCCATGAAACGTAATCTTTCTCAGGCATCTTGTCGAAATAATTCCGAGCAACATCAATTTCTCCCAAGTTGGTAAACCCGGCTACGACGCTAGTCCAAGATATGATATCTCTATTACTCATATTCCTGAAAATCCCAAGGGCAGCATCCATTTCCCCACAAGCAGCATACATATCAATCAGAGCATTTTCAAGAATCAAACTGCACTCAACCTGGCAGTTGTTGACATATCTATGAACCAGCTTCCCAGTTTTTAAATCCTTCAATTTGGAGCAAGCTGACAGGATTAATACAAGGGTCACCGTGGTGGGCAGCACTTGCTTTTCCTGCATACCAAGAAAAAGTTTTCTTGATTCCTCAAACTTCCCATCTTTGTTGTAGGCAGAGATCATCATATTCCAAGTGATCACATCAGCTTTAGAGCAAGAATCCAGAACCCCACGAGCCATATCAACAAGGCCACACAAGAGGTACATTTGCACTAAAGCAGTCTGAACAAACACATTGGACTGAAGCCCATGCTTCAGAACGTGGCCATGAAACTCTTTTCCATATTCTAATGCAATGTCTCTTGTAAATCCCTTGAACAGGAACGGGAAGGTGTAACCATCAGGCTTAACATCCCTCCTCAACATTTCCAAATACAGAGAAACTCCGAGCTCGGGAGAATCCAGCCGGGAGTAGCCTCTGATCATGGTGTTCCAGAGAAACACATTCGGTTCAGGAATTTCATCAAACAGGTGATGTGCATATTTCAAGTCACCATGTTCATGCGTACAACAGAAGGTCATAACTCCGTTTTGGAGAACTGGGTTGGCATGGAGACCTGTTTTAATTGCTTGGCAGTGAATTTGCTGAAGCTGGTCCATGGATTTGCAGGTCTGAAGGAGATAGAGTAGACGGCGGGTGGGTGGAGAGAGGGGCATTGAAGCTGTGGAGGGTCGAATTTTGTGAGCTTCGAATTTGAAAAGCTTGCAATGGAGTGATGCAACTGAGTCAAAGGCATCGGCGCTGGCATGCGGCATAATTGGAAAACTACACCCATCACAATGGAAAAAACGAAAAAAATAATTGCGGTGAACGTGGATCGAACACGTGACCTTCAGATCTTCAGTCTGACGCTCTCCCAACTGAGCTATCCCCGCAATCACGTATACATGTAAGTCTGTTTAAATATTATAGTAATCATTTTAAACAACCCAAATTAAAATAAAAAAATATTATATCTTTGACTTTGTTTACTATAAATTCTATGGAATCATACTCATAAATTTGATGTTATCTGTTAAAATGATCAAAAATCAAAATAAAAGACAGACATATAATCGTCACTATAATACTTATTTTTTTTAGTTAATTACAAATACATTTTACCATAAATATATGGAGTAGTTTTGACTAATTTTAACTCTTAACAATTCTTTACTTTGAGTTTTCATCTCCATTTAGCCTCTCAATATGTCTCTTTTCATGATGGAGTATGAACTTTCGAGGTTGAAAGTTTGATCCTCATCCTAATATATGTTGTACTGAAAAATATATATGAATTTGAAGATGAACTTAACAAGAAAAGAGTAATAGAAAAACTAATTGAATCTTGAAAAAGTAATCGTTATAAATTTTTTTAAAATATTGTTAAAAATGAAACTAATTCCAAAAATATTACAATATTCAAACTAATTGCTTCCGTCTACACCATCGAGATCCCTACAGCGCACATCCTCCCCGGAAGTTGGTTGCGATTGATTCCACACCAATTTTATCAAATAAAAATGAAGTATACATAAAATTGACTGCAGGGAACAAATCGCCGCTGGAATTCTCCCAAACTGGAGGGAGAAGTGGGGATCATCGCGCCACTCATCATTGAAAATGAGGGGAGATTTGACGTGGGCGGAAGAGGATGTTCATGGGGCGGTTTCCCGTCCCCATCCCTACCCCACAAAATTTCTCGTGGAAAATTGGTGGGATCAGTTTCCCCGAGAATTTTTTCCCATTTATTTTTTTATTTTTGAAATTATTTTTTAATAAATAAATTTTTATTTAATGACTTAATTTCTAAGATATAATTATCCCAAATATATATTAAGTGGGTGAGTAGGAAGAATATAATTTTTTTAGTACGTGTATGTATAAGGAAGATAACATAATTATTTTAGTATGCATATATAAATATTAAAAAAAAATTACGCCAGGTGGGAAACAGGAACCTGTCCCTGTCCTCATTTAGATGGTGGGAAATTTTTTTCTCCCAATGCGGATCCATATATTATTTGATTGTATTTGAAATTATTGGGTAAAATTATACTCGAGGTGAGACTGTGAAAGCGATGTGAGTTAGGAGACAAAGATGAAAATCTCGACCAAATTCTAGATGGATCACTCGATCAGAGGAGGACTAGACTACTCGACTAGAGGAGACTCGAGTGGAGTCAAACTACCCAGACTGAGCCGATTGGACCTAGTCAAGTTGGTTCACTTGAACAACCCAAAGAAACTCCCTTTACAAAGAAGAGGAGAGACCTTGTATGCGAGATACACCTTCAAAACCCTTATCTTTACTATTCTCAATAAAACTCTCTGCTAACTTAGACTTCAAAGTGTGCTATGTTTACTACTACATCAGTGTGCAGGTGTTTGCTGGATCTATCAATGCAATCAACCAGATGACAACATTTTGACATTTTTTTAATCTATATATATATAATTTTTTTTTTTTTTTGCCTTTCAACTCCCTCGTGTTTTGAAATAGTAACTCCAACAAAACTAGGAAAAATAGGGTACATATTTATTCTATTAAAAATATTAATAAAGCAACCTAATTTCCACGCCTTTCCACACCTTTACAATACATTACACTATACAATGTAAACTTTTTCTTTTATAAAAGTTTACTTTAGAAAATTAAACTATGCATTATAGAAGTTTAAATATATTATTTATTTTGTTAGCAATGTCTCAGCGTGTCTTACACTTTATGATAAATTTTAATAGTGGTTAATAGAAAACGAACGATGTTGAATATTAAATCAACAATATTTATTGACCTATGAGAATTTTTGACACCTATAAAAGGGGTACATGAGTGGACTCCCGTTTGTTTTGTGAAATTTTATAGATGGATTTGGGGAGGATATAGAATTTTATTATATATTTCATAAAAGTAAATTAATTTAATATAATAAATTAAATCGATACCTGAAATAGAAATATTAGAATGTTTATTTATTTTCAAGTTTTAAAGAATTGAAAAGAATCGATTTATCTCTTTATAACTCATTGTTTGCTTTTACGGGAAAATAATGATACACATATTTCTATTATTTATCCTTCATTAACTTATCCCTCTCTATTTAATATATTAGTTCAAATTCGATTCAATTTGATAGTTAGAATAATTATTCATTTTCATGTTAAGAAAAACTATGGTGGTTCACTTTAAAGTAGTTATAGAAGTACTCACTTTAAAAATAATTATTGAGGGTAAAAACTGACCACGAAACATGTGAGGTTCAAGTGGTGAAATTTGGCGGTGGAGGCCAAACCCCCCGGAAACGTACAACTAACAGAGGAAGCAACACTGGTTTTAGCATAAACGTACGGAGCGAACGCGACACACTTTGTTGCAGGACCTCTACAGCGGGTCAGGGTGGCAAATGACAAGGGTGCTACGCCACGTGCTATGAATGTCTCCTAACGGTCCGTCAGAACTTGTACGTAAGTAGACCCTACCACGCTGCACGCCAGGCGTCCTCCCTCATGACCACGAAATAAGTGAAAAATTTGTCACTAATATTACTAAGGTGTTTACTATTGGAAATATTATGTAGAGAAATTTAAGGAAACACAAAAATAAACAATCTGAACCCAACGTAGCTTTGTTTCCTTAAGATAATTTTGTTCACTCTATGTTGCTCAAGGTTTCATGAACAAATGTCTCTTAGGATAAGACGGATATACCAACCTGTGAATGCAGCACTTCACGCATAAAGCTCAACAAACTCAAAGTATTTAAGTATTCGTACTTAGGGAAAAAAATAGAGAAGTTTGATGGATGAGTTTTCTATCTTACAAACCTAAAAAGAGCGACATATTTATAGACTATTTATGGTTATTTTTTCATATTTATGGCTTCATTTTTAATAAAAAATAGTTTTATTCAAAAATTTCAACGCTTACCATTTCTTCTCTCTTGCAATTACTAACTTGATCGTCGGAGAACATTAGACGAGATACCGCATCATTTGTCAGGATTCGTTGTTGCACACTCGTTCGTTATTCATTCGATTTTTCATATCAACAATAATAATACCAAGCAACACAAAGAAAATAGGTCGTGCATGTTTATTCTGTTAGAACTTGGAAGATATAAAGCACTTTCCTTTTCTATATTTTTCACACCTCACGATATTATATAAAATAACTTTTTTCTTATTTAAAAATATTTAACTTTGGGAAAGCCTTAAACAATGTAGAAATTTAAAGTACAATGTTATTTCAATAAAATATATGTCCCACCCACCCTATCATGTTATACGTTATGACAAATTTAAATCATATTTAATGAAAAATTAATTATGTGATTCAATATTAGATTATAAAGTAGGTGATGTTTGTTTAGTGTGAATTCTGGAGGCTCATAAAATAGACCAGATTTCGAGTTTTATTTTGACATACTTCATTTTTAAAAATTGTTCATTTTATATAAAATATAAAAAGAAAATTATTAAAATTTTTCGAAAATAGGTGTACATTTAATTCAGATTAATTAACAAAAAATTAGGCAAGGGTCGTTAATGGAAAAAAAAATAGTTGTTCCATACACAAATTTAAATAATAATAATAATAATAATAATAATAAGGGTGTGAGTTTTATAGGATTCTCTATCATCACAATTTTATTTTTAGTTTTTTCTACATAAAAAATTATGCTGGTTTTTCACAATCTATTGTATATTTTATTCATGCCTTCAAAACACATATGAATTCTTAGCCAACTTAAATTAAAAAAAATTGGAAACTATTTTATTTGATTTGCAAATTTTAATTTTGATTTTGAAAACATTTTAAAAATTCAATAACAAGACCGAAGTATACATGCATCAAAGTAAAAGTAGTGATTATAAGTTTAATTTGGTTACAGGTGTGATTCTGGTTGTATTGACCGTATCCTTTGGTGTAATTGGTTATTCCTTACCTCGGGACCAAATTGGTTATTGAGCAGTCAAAATTGTAATAGGTGTACCGAAAGCTGTTCCAATAATAGGGTCACATTTGACAGAATTATTACACGGAAGTGCTAGTGTGAGACAATCTACCTTGACTCGTTTTTATAGTTTAAACACTTTAACTTTTAAATATCCAATCATTTAAATTCTTAGGCACAATTGTTCTTTTTGAGTCGTATCATCCTCTAACAACAAACAATCTCAAAGGAAAATGATAATTTGATTACTTTTCAAGTCAAGTCATCATATTATATATTGATGAACCTAGTAGTTAGGGGTGTTCAAAAAACCCGACAATCTGACGAACCCGATGAACCCAACCCAAACCGTAAGGGTTGAGTTGGGTTAGAGGAAGGTTTGGATTGGGTTGGGTTGAAATTTTCCCAACCCGACCGGGTTGGGTTAGATCTCGGGTTCAACCTTTAAAAATTCGGGTCAACCCAACCCAACATGAATTAATGCATATTATATATATATTTTTAATTATAAATAATATAATAATATCTTTATAAGTATATAATATTTTTTTATCTTTAATCTCAACCCTCCATTATTTTTAATCCTAACCATTCATTTTAGGTTAGAGTTTTTTTTTATCTTTTCAATCTCACTTATCCTCCTTGTTTCTCTCAAGCCTTCTCTCCTCCTCCATTTTCTTCCCTCTCTCAAGCTTCTTTCCTTCATTTTCTTATATCTCTCAAGTTTCTCTCTCCCATTTTATTCCCTTACTCAAGCTTCCCATCGCCATCGTCCTTCGCAGCTCCCGTCGCTGCCCGTCTTTGGAGCTCACGTCACCGTCTCAGCCCATCGTCATCGCCGCCGGCCTTACCCTCTCTGCCATCCGACATTATCACGAAAGGAGCCCCGGTGAATGAGGTTTTGATTCTTCTATGTGAGCCGTTTTGTACCTTTGAGGTTAGAAAAATATATGGAGAAAAAAATAACAACCTGACAACCCAACCCGACAAACCCAAAAATTTTGGGTTGAATTGGGTTGGGTTGGGTTGGCCATCAATTTTAGACCCGTCGGTTCTCATATATGGCCAACCCGAAAATTCGGGTTGGTTCCAAAAATACTCCTAACCCGACCCGACCGAACCCGTGAAGTAGTGGTTGTTAATTTCAAATTTTAGTCTTTCTTTATTATTATTTGTTTCTTTTAAATACTTTTTATTATTTTTTTCCAAAGTGAAAAAAGAAAAAGCAAAAGAAAAAGTTACCCTTTATGTCACCTTTATGTGGACATCTGCCTAAAGTTGCTAATTGCCATGGATGAGTGTTATTAAGGGCAGTTTGGAATCATGTATATAAATAGGCAAGTGAATTTGATAATTTTAGCAAAGAAAAAAAATCATTTGATGTTTCCTAATTTCTAAAATGGAGTCCAAATTTAGAGTTAAATGCTTGTTAGTAACAATAATATTTATTTTTGTGGGTGATGATATGCAGGTATCCAATGGGTGTCTTCAAGATGAAAGATTGGGTTTGTTGCAAATCAAGGCCTTCTTTTTATCGCATAATATCAACCAAAACTCCAATCCTTTTGATTCATGGGTTGGAGCTAATTGTTGCAATTGGACTCGAGTTCGTTGCAATAATCTCACTTCCGATGCCCAGGTGGTGGACCTTTTCCTCCATAACTTGTTGGATTATAACAATTATGATTTCGACCATCGTTTGTTGAATGTGTCCATATTTCAAAATTTAAAGGGATTGAAAGGTCTCGACTTGTCCTTGAATAGATTCTCTGGTTTTACTGGAAACCAAGTTACGTCAATTACTTCTTTTAATTTACCCAAGTTGATTTTATTACATGATTAACATTCCTCCTCTTCAAGATCTCACGAGCAAATTAGAGCTTTGATGATAAGTTTTTTTTTTCCTTCATCTTTGAATGGGCTTCATAGTGTTGAAGAAGTTGGTTCTACCATGATTTCAAACTTGTATCCATTCCAGATATGCAAAATCATATTATCTAAGTCCATGATGTAATTTATTGTTACGTTTTGTTTTCTTTGTGTTCTTGTCCAAGATAGATTTAAAAATTTTGAGAGAATTATATTTACGTGGCAATAAATTTAACGGCACAAAACAATTAAGATAGTAGTTTAACAACTTAATCTAAAATAAATTAAATAGATTTTCCACTTTATTTCATGTGGTTTATTTTTAAAATAACCTATCTTCTTTTTATTAAATTTTCAGGTACTGTAATACTGAGAAATTCGGATATTAGATATATGGCTATTATGTATTTTCGCTGCATTATTTAGTGTAAATAATCCGTTTGTAGCATTAAATATATCCAAACATATATGAAAGAACTCTTATAGAAAATTAGGGATTAATTTTGAAAAATGATATAGTCTATTATGTCTAGACTTTTTTTATTTTTTATTTTTATTTTTTGGGTTTGATCTGATTGTTGTAATTGAAAATGAGTTATAATAATATTAGCACAATAATTTATTTTCAAGTAATGAATTAATTTATTATTATTGTTATTTTTTTCAGGATTTAATGAATTTTCAAGTTTCAACAAATTAGAGGTATTATATCTAGGAGGAAATTGCTTTGGTAATAATATTTCCTCATCTGTAAGTAGACTTACATCTTTGAAGCAATTATCACTTTACTACACCTGTTTGGAAGGATCTATTTCTTTATCCGGTAAGTTTGGTTAATCACTCTTTTTTATTTAATTTACATTAGAAGCTTAAAATTGTTTTAGACTTTCCTAATCCTTTCTTTCAATTTAAAATTATTTCAAAATATTTTTATAATTTTCTCCCATTTGAGAGTTTTAAATCTAAGTGACTATAAATTAAATGACTTAGTAGAAATACAAGGTAATTCATAGCTAGCACTCTTATTAAAAAATAAAAACAAAAAAAAAGGTAGATGGCACTTTAAAAACTTAATATTTATTTATTAATCACATAAAGTTTGAAACAAATTAATTTGAAACAAACTTAATATTTATTCTAAATAGATTTTTTATTTTCCTAAAAAAATAAATAAATAGATTTTTCATTGTACAAGTGGGTTTTTTTAAGGAACCCAATTTCTTCATCCAAGTGTCATTGTAACATCCTAAAAAATTGGAATTCTTAGATCTGACTTTCAATTCATAAAATCATTGAAGATTACTCTTTTAGTCCAAATTGTATTAAAAGAAAAAAAAAAAGACTTCAAGTACACAACTAGTATATTATTCTTTTTCTTCTTTAATTTGAGTAAAAAAAAATGGAAAATTTGGTAGCCTTAGATTTAAGTTATTTATTTGTTATTTTTTTTAGTACAACATGTAGGGTGGAAGATCGAACTCACAATTTCTTTGAGATATATGTYAATTATCGCTGAACTTGCTCGCTTTGACAACCTTAAATTTAAATTACAGTGGATTGAATGTCATACAACAAATGTAAGATAATTTTAATTAAATTGTTACTTAATCTATGTCGTTTGAAACATAAATTAGATGGACTTAAAATTAGAAACAAATTTTGAAACTCTTTGAATTATACAAATCAATCAAATCTCTTACATATATGTGAAATTATTTTTCACTATGTCAAGATTAAGTTCTTGGTTTAACTACAAAGTAGATATTTGTAGTATTGGTTTTATCCTCATGAGTTGAGTTTATTACGATGTGAAAGTTGGTTCAATAATTTTATTGAAACAATTTATTGGACTTCTTGTACAGGATTGGAAAGATTACAGATTTTAAATCTCAAAAGCAATAATCTCAACAATAGTATATTTTCATCTTTGAGGGGACTTGTATCGTTAAAGACTTTGACTCTTCGTAGTAATAATTTGAGAGGTTAGTTTAATTAATGAAATCCTACAAATATGAATAACTTTTGCCCTTCAACTCCATGCTCTGTTTTTTACTTTTTTTTTTTTTTTTTTGTTCTTTTAATAACTTGACATTTTTGTTCCCCAGATATTGCAAAATTAAAAAGCTTGGAAATATTTGATCTTTCAAACAATAATTATTACGATGGAGCAATACCCTTGCAAGGTAAGTATGTTCAAATTTGGAGAGTCTCTCAATTACAATTTCATGACAAAAGGGAAAAGAAAAACCATTTTCACTTTATTTTTTGGTTATATATTAAAACTAACTCTATCTTATCTTATCAAAGCCAATTTGAACATGCCAAACCGAATATAGCTCAAGTGGTTAAGACATCTATCTCTGAACCAGAACTAATATTGTCTATGTATTTTATCTTTTGAATTCTTGTCAAACAGATTTGAAGAATTTAAGAGCATTGGATCTATCATATAATACATTCAATGGTTCACTTCCAATACAAGGTAATCTCGCTCTTGCAATTTAGACTGATGGGATTCCAACTCTTATTTTCCGTTGTTGATTTACTTTTCAATATTGCACTTAAAATCCACAAAATAAACCATTCAAGCCCTTAAGTAATATTAATTAGGTGGAATTTATAAAAAAAAAAATCCTCATTAGAACTACAACTGTTAGATTATTTAATTCTTAAATTTTTTACATCAATTAAGCCAACATTTTTATTAAAATATTGATAACACAAAATCAGAATCGAAGGAAATTAAATTAAAAGAGAATAATAAGAACGTAAGATAACTATTTTGTTTGTTTTTTAGAAACATTAGTTCAAGTCTTCCTTTTGTTTCTTATATAGTTTTTATAAATACTTTTAAAACATCCATTTTAATTTTTGAAAGAATAGTAAAAGGTTGTTTATTTCCCTCCATTTGTGTATTGATTGGTTTCATATTTATCTTACTATAAAATTAGTTAAACGTTGCCGTGTCAATGTAAAATGGCACCTCAACTTAGATGAAGATTTTGAATTTGAACGACTAGAAATAAATTTACCGTGTCATTTGTGAGTTGATAATAAAAAGTTGTCAATCTACCACAACTTATGTACATTAGGTAGATAAATTTATTAACTTTTATGAGGTAATATTTTAATCTGTGTTATCTAAGGTGAAAAACGTTTGAATTTTTTTTTTCACTTTTATGGACAGGATTTTGCTGCTTGAGTTGGATATTAATAATAATGATATTAGAGGTAAATTTTCAGACTGTATTGGAAACTTCACTAGACTCCAATATCTTGACATCTCATCCAACCAATTCAATGGAAAAATTCCAAACACCATTGTCAACCTCACATCAATTGAGTACCTGTCTTTGGTTGAAAATAACTTTGAAGGCCCGTTCTTATTTTCCTTCCTGGCTGATCTGACCAACCTCAAGGTTTTTAAGCTATCGGATACACAAGTGGATACCGAAAAATCTTCTTGGAAACCCATGTTTCAATTGGACATCTTTACACTGCGAAACTGTGAAGTTAATAAGCAAAGCACATCAAATATTCCTAGTTTTCTATTATCACAACGCTACTTGAGTGTCATTGACCTTTCTCATAACCAATTGGTTGGAACTTTTCCAGTTTGGTTGTTGCACAATAACTCCGAATTGGTGTTCTTGGATTTGAGAAACAACTCACTTACGGGAACTCTTCAATTGCCCACTTGGAAACAAAAGTTGTCGTACCTGAAGATTTCTCACAACAATTTTAGTGGTCAACTACCCAATAATGTTGGCCTCTTTCTACCTGAAGTTGATTACTTCAATATATCAAGCAATAGCTAGCAATAGCTTCGAAGGTAATCTTCCTCCATATAYGGAACAAATGGAATACATGTCCTACTTGGATCTATCAAAGAACAAATTTTCTGGAAATTTACAAATGTCTATGTTCAACAATATGTCTGATCTACAATGTTTGCTGCTTGGCTTCAAAGGTAATCTTCCTCCATATATGGAACAAATGGAATACATGTCCTACTTGGATCTATCAAAGAACAAATTTTCTGGAAATTTACAAATGTCTATGTTCAACAATATGTCTGATCTACAATGTTTGCTGCTTGGAAGCAACAGCTTTAGTGGAAGCATTGAGTATGGGTGGAACAATAGCATGGTAAATATGGTTGTGATGGATATATCAAATAATATGATTTCAGGAAAAGTTCCTAGTTGGATTGGGAGTTTGAGAAGTCTTCAATATCTCGGAATATCAAAAAATCAATTTGAAGGTGAACTTCCTGTTGGAATTTGCTCTCTTCATCAACTTAAGTTCTTGGATGTCTCTCAAAATAAATTATTTGGTATGCCCTCTTGCCTCGACTCTTCGTCATTGATTTACTTATGCATGCGGGAGAATTGCTTCTTAGGGCCTATACCACATGCAATTTCAAATGGCTCGAAGTTGGAAGTTCTTGATCTCAGCTACAACTATCTTTCAGGACCTATTCCTAATTGGATTCACAAACTTACGAGACTACGAGTTCTTTTGTTGAAGATGAATCAATTGCAAGGTTCAATTCCCCAACAATTATGCGAAGTTAGAAAATTAAATATTATAGATTTTTCAAATAATAAACTCAATGGATCAATACCTCCTTGCTTAAATACTATGACATTTGGGGCGATAAAAGGTAGTAAATATTCAACTGTTGAAAAAATGGCTGATTTCGTTCGTGGGACTGATTTTCAACCTAGATATTTTGGAAGTTATTTCGGAAATTTCCTACAACATGAGTCTGTGRAAGTMACASGACAGATCGAAGTGGAATTTACTRCGAAGAGTAGGTTCGACATTTATAAAGGGAATATTCTAGAATATATGTCTGGACTTGATCTATCACATAATCAACTAACAGGTAACATTCCACCGCAAATTGGAGACTTGCTACAAATTCATGCTTTGAATTTTTCGCACAATAAGTTGGTCGGACCTATACCAAATGAAATCTCCAATTTAAAACAATTGGAGAGTTTGGGTCTTTCCAATAACTTTTTGAGTGGAAACATCCCTTCAGAACTAGTCGGACTCAATGCGCTTGCTATCTTCAACGTGTCATTCAATAATTTGTCGGGTATGATCCCTACATCACCRCACTTCTCGACATATCCTGCAAGCAGTTATTTTGGTAATTATCATCTCTGTGGATCATATATTGAAGAAAAATGCTCAAGACCTATTTTACCACCAGACAACCAATTTATAAAGTCGAGAGAAGAACATGGATCATTCATTGATTTACAAGCATTCTGGTGGAGCTTTAGTGCTTCCTATGTCACAATATTGTTGGGATTTGTAGTAGTTCTTTACATCAACCCTCAATGGCGTGAAGCATGGTTTTATTTTATTGAAGATTGTTGTTCTTACTTTTGCAAGTGTATTTGAAACATATTCTTCTCGTGTCAAACTTGAAAAATCACTCCGTCTTTGGTTCATGTAATTTCTTAGTCACTTTGTCTTCCTTTTCTGATGTAGCAATTGGATGCAAAAGTTATGTAAATGGGTGTGCTAGATTAAATGGAAAATGACCCGTTTGACCAAAAAAGTTTAAATTTTGCTCAAATGACCTAACTATAAAAAAATTCACTCTTCTAACCTAAATTCATATTTTACTCCTTTGCAAACAACGTGAAATTACAATGAAGCCCCTCAAGACCATTAGAGATCTTTGTTGCCCTATTGAGATTTTTGTTGTAAATCTTCAACATAATTTGATTTCGATTTTTGTTGTAAATCTTCCAGGTAATTTGATTTCGATTTTTGTTGTAAATCTTCAAAATAATTTGATTTCGATTTTTGATGTAAATATTCAAGATAATTTGATTTCGTTGATTCACATATTAATTAAATTATCTTAATCGTGATTTTTTATAGGTAAAAAGATTTGTTTTCTTTGATCGAGTTCGCCAATTCACGCCCGAATTTTCCGATTCACGACGCCCGTGTTCGCCCGATTCGCCCGAGTTCGTCCGATTCACGCCCAAGTTCGCTCTCTCCGATTCACGTCCGAAAAGCTCGTGGTTGGAGATATATGCTAATTACCGCTGAGCTATGCTTGCTTTGGCAGTGAGACTTAATTATTATTGAAACTTATTGCATATAATTCTTTTATACTACTAGATCATATGTATTTTCCAATTTGAACATAGTTCAACTAGTTTAGTGTTACGTACAACATGTGATTGTGGTACAAGTATAAATAAAAAAATTAGCATTCACAAGCAAAGATCCACAACCTCTTAATGTACGTAGCTACTTAATGCCATAACAAAGATGAGGGGTGAAGAAAATACAAAACTCACGGACCAAAGAATACAAAAGAAGAAAGAAAGAATCAGCAAAGTCTCTGCAATTGATGAAGAACAATGTAGGCAAACTTCATTTGGAGCTTTTATATATGTTCTTAAATTTAAGGCAACAATTTCAGGGGTAAAATGAGGCTCATAAGCAGCAATAGAACTTTTTTCGTTTTACAGTAATTTCTCAGGTAAAAGCTATCAGAGATTTTTTCATAATATTCAACAACATACAACACAAAAGAAACTCTTCATTGAATAATCATATAATAGACCTAGAACACTTGTAATTAGAGCTAACTTGTTCATTTTCTTATCTACCCAAGACATTATCCTCCTAAAATAACTCTTTGATAGAGATCTCCACCTCCACATGTTGTACTAAAACAAAAAACTACTAGATTATATATTCTAGTGGAAGCATAAAGTTGAGGCCCCCAAAGGCACGTGTCGTTGGTGAAGCCCTCGTGACGGATGAGTCTCGGGGGCCGCCTTGTAA